CCTTTGCAAGCATCGGAGAGTCAGATTTCTCGGGTATGCCCAAGTATATTGATATAAGGCTGTGAAAAAGAGAGCGCAACTTTTAACCGCTTCTATAACTTATCAAATATAAATATTAGTAGAACAGTGAAATCTCTAGAAGTAAATCATAAACACCTTAACAAGTGAGAAGAATAACGAGACAAAAACCATTCATCCGAGGCAGGCTTGGGCCCAGAGAAAACGGTAATCGCACATTGAAGAGTACGGCGCCATCTGGTGGCCGTGACTGGTAAACACTCATCACACAGTTATACCCTCATTAGTGTAATGCTAGCATTACACTGCTGAGTATAATACTAGTATAATGCTGACCAGCTTAATGCTAACATATAACTCGTATATGGTTAGCATTACACTACTGAGTGTAATACTAGTATTATGTTGACCAACTTAATGCTAACATATAACACACATATGGCTAGGATATAATCATTTAATGTATCACTAACGAACTTAATTCTCACACATAGCTGGTATAGTACCGGCATATTGCTAACATTACGTTACTCAGTATTATGCTTGAAAACTTAATACTAGCACATTGCTATCAATATGCTAACATTACACTCATTTTTAGCAGGGCAGTGCATGGGTCCTAAGGGTAAAAGGACCATACTTGGTACTGGGAAAAATATTGATCAACTCAATATTTTTCCCAACTTCGTAAATGGGATTTTTCCCTGGGACAAATCTCGTGAAACGGCCCGTGGAGACAAGGCCTAGAAGCACTTAAAAATAATGTATCCCCTTGTAAAGGTGCATTAATTATGCAGCTACTTATACCAAAATCGACAATAATGGAGATACCTTATTTTGATCTGTCATCCGCGAAATTTTCATTAAATATAGGTCCTTATCGTCGAAGGTTTTTTTTAAAGTTTCAAGATTATTGAAACTTTATTTCAAAATTTTAGCAACATTATTTCATCTTTGTTGCAACTAACTTATTCCCTGGTATACTTTGGGTGATACGGTGATAGGTAACTTAAAAAGTTGTAAAATTGCATGGTTGGTGGTATTCTTTAAAAAAAAGAATAAAAGGATTTTCCATTTCGTAAATCTCAATAGCTTTTCAAAGAATATTCCCTTTCAGATATTTTATTCCTCTTTTTTAAGTACATAGTGTCCTACTCAGGCCCGCCACATCCCGTCTCGGGCCCTGGTACCAGTTTTAAGGTCCGGGCCCCAAGCACGGAGGGGGGGGGGTCCGAGGGGCATCCCCCGAGATATTTTAGAATTTATACGACTAATCGGACGCTTCCATAATGAATTTTTCCATCAATTTCTACGGAATAATTATGTTTTTTTTTCTACTTTCAGCACAAAATACTTGCGAATTGTTGCATTCAAAACATCTGGAAAATTTTTATTATTTTTTTTTTTTTTGGGGGGGGGAGGGCATATGATACTATTTTCAGTTCTATGAGAGCCAGGCCCCCCTGGACTCCCCCTTCGTTTGTCTATGGCAAGGGAGTTGAGTCATGAGCCATTGAAGTCGAGGATGCCCAGACTGGAGACTCTCAGCATCAGACGACGGAAGAAAATGAAACGCAGTTACTCAAAATATCCCTCTGTACTGAAAATCTTGAAAATAGATAGAAATTTTCCAAGAAGTATACTTCTTTGAAAATTTAAGAAGAATTCTACAGTGCCCCAGCAAGTTTCTAAAAATCTATTCACCTTTTGCGAAATTTTTAGGGTAAATTTTTCACTTTTCCTTACGAAACAAGTTTTGCATGTGAATTCGTAGTGGTTTTTCACGGGTAACACGGGCCCCCTCCGGAGCCNCCCCCCCTTGTGGCGGGCCTGCCTTCATGCACGCTGGGCTTGTCGATTTTCTTTGACATTTTTGCAGTGGTGAATGCAAAGCTGAAGTGCGCTCCAGCTAGAATTGTATATAGCAAACGGGTAATTTTTAAAGGAGGAATATAAATAAACAAGTGGTTAGAAATGGAAACAAAATAATATGAACTATGCAAAACGATAATCCGGGTATCGGAACTTGGCTGTTTTGAAAACGCCTTCAAATGCGGCGTGATACCTCACGCATTCCGGAGAGTTCAAATAGTTGTATCATTGCGCCGTATGGATGTGACGGAAGATTTAAATGGAAATAGCCTTCATGCAGGCTCGCCACATCCCATCTCGGGCCCTGGTACCAGTTTTAAGGTCCGGGCCCCAAGCACGGAGGGGGGGGGGTCCGAGGGGCATCCCCCGAGAAATTTTAGAATTTATACGACTAATCGGACGCATTTTGAAGCTTTCATAAAGAATTTTTCCATCCATTTCTGCGGAATAATTATGTTTTTTTTTCTACTTTCAGCACAAAATACTTGCGAATTGTTGCATTCAAAACATCTGGAAAATTTTTATTATTATTTTTTTTTTTTGGGGGGGGGAGGGCATATGATACTATTTTCAGTTCTATGAAAGCCAGGCCCCCCTGGACTCCCCCTTCGTTTGTCCATGGCAAGGGAGTTGAGTCATGAGCCATTGAAGTCGAGGATGCCCAGACTGGAGACTCTCAGCATCAGACGACGGAAGAAAATGAAACGCAGTTACCTACTCAAAATATCCCTCTGTACTGAAAATCTTGAAGATAGATAGAAATTTTCCAAGAAGTATACTTCTTTGAAAATTTAAGAAGGATTCTACAGTGCCCCAGCAAGTTTCTGAAAATCTATTCACCTTTTGCGAAATTTTTAGGGTAAATTTTTCACTTTTCCTTACGAAACAAGTTTTGCATGTGAATTCGTAGTGGTTTTTCACGGGTAACACGGGCCTCCTCCGGAGCCCGGGCCCCGGTACCAGGGACCCACTATCCCCCCCCCCTTTGTGGCGGGCCTGTTCCTACTTTGGATTGGACACTTTGCGCTTCCTTAGCGGCGTGTTGCGCCGTTTCAGAGTAGTACTTATCACAATCACTAACGATGCTGTTGTGTAAGATATGTTGCGTCAGAAAGAATTGAAGGAAAAAGAGATGGAGTGAATGCTTATGGTTATTTGTATCTTCTTTCACAAAAATAGAGTGCCCTAAATAATAATTGGCTCAAGGTCATCGTTGTGTTGCCACTGTCACAATTCTTTTTGGCTCACTGCAATACGACCAAAGAATATGAGTATCACTACTTAACTTTTCTAAAAGCCTTTACTACTTATTATTTGCAACCGCTTTATGCACACGCTCACTCACACATGCACACATTGTCAGTGTCCTGTTTATCAGTTTGTTAACGTGTATTGCAAGTTGCATCTTAAGTTAACTCTGATTTTATCTGTGTTCGTTGCGTTCCTGTTCTAAAGATTGTCAAGATCGTTATCTCTATTCTCTCTCGCTTCACTTTTTCGAAAAATATTTTGCCTTTTTTTTTTTGTAAGGAAGTTACCGTGAATGATAAATGACCATGAGATTTTCTGACGATTGATAAGTCTTCAGTGAGAAGCAAAGTCAGTAATGGTTATGTTATAGAAAGTTTTCGTGGTCTCATGTGCCCCTGTGATTTCAATTCAACATGCTTATGACCCTTTTTTTGTTGAAATAAGAAACATCTCCTGAAGTGTACTTCTCCAGGTAAGTTCTCGCATCGAATGGTTTTTAAAAATGTATTTCAAGCCGAACTAATACAAGTGTGGAATCCACACTTGCACTGCGACTATGCATTTCTATCCAGTATGCCAACAACTTATTTTTCCAACACACTTCAAATATTTTTAAACCCAAGTATGGTTTTAAGATCCCTCATTCTTGGTAAAAACCTTACAGAAGTTTAGAGGGTACTGGCGAGTTTTTTTATTTTAGAATCATCGTTAATATCGTCAACTGGATGTTGTCACTAAATTTTAGGTTAGGTTAAAGGTTTACATCTCACATCACTACACTAAATGCTCGCCTACCCCTAAAAGGCCTAGATACACTCGGCGATTAATCGGATTAATCGCCGCTAGTGAAAGATGAAAGCCAATGGAGAGTCTTGATTTTGATCCATTGACGTTAATGTATTAAAATCAAGGCTCTCCATTGGCTTTCGTCTCGATGGTTCTGGAAGATGATAAGCAAAGCACTGAGTTGGAGGTTGGGCAGCAGATCAGAGGCTGCGCGGATCATTAGTACCTGGGAGTGCGGTTGACCCAGGAGTGATAGGCGAATCAAGCTATCAAGGAAAGAAAAACCCTAGCAAGGAAGGCTATAGCAACGTTAAATGGAATCCTCTGGGATCCGAGGATTTCCGAAGAGAACAAGAGGAGAATTTACAACTCTGTAGCTAAAAGTATATTATTGTACGGGTGTGAAGTTTGGCAGCTGAAGAAACGGACACAGGATATGCCAAGAGCAACTGAAATTCTGGAGGAGGTCAGCAGGGATTTCTAGGAGAGATCAGATCCATAATGATAGGATGCGTCAGATAATGGAAGTCCAAAATGACATCGTATTTGATGTCATGACCAAACAGCTTGTCTGGTACGCTCATGTTAATAGGATGACGGAAAATAGGCTGCCAAAAAAGATGCGTGATAGGGTTCTTTCTGGGAAGAGACGAAGGGGATGTTCGGTGAAAGGGTGGCGGCAGGCGTTTTTAGAAGAGATAAAGGAGTGCCAACTCCCTGATGGGTTGTGGAAGGATCGAGTTTTGTGGCGTAGGCATTGCAAAGCCCCAGAGAGTGCTGTGAGAGCGACTTTCATGTATGTATATTGCAATGCGTATAGAAACCTCATACGTTCTAAATTCAAAATTAGCATCACATGCTCCGTTTTTTGAACTGGCATATTTGGATGCATTACTTATAGCTCGGATAAGTTCTGCTTTGTTTTGATGCAGATTAGTTAGATTAGCAAAGAGAATTCCTAAATGTTCGTTCAAGTAGAACATGTCATTACCTAATTTTTAATGACAAAAATCACACTGTACAAGCTGTTATTAATCTACAGAAATAGGTAGCCCTTGAAATTACACAAAATTATTTTTTTTAATGTTTAGTTTTCAAGTAGGTACATAATTACGGTAGGTAATGAAAGTAGAGTGTAGATGCAACTTAGATTTTTGTCAGTGAAAGTAAACATGTAACTGTTAGAATTAAATTCTCTCAGATCTTATTTTCTATTTGGTTTTCATCCTTTTAATTCTTCTCTTCTCCAAGGCTGTATTTCAAGGTGTGCTGAGACTGCTAAGCATCTATTCAATTTTGAAATATTTGTCTTTTATCCTGCTCATTTTTTATTTTTCCAGATGAATCATGGCTCCCGATATTCCAAGTGACGATGAGCAAGAGAACGACAATGATTCGGTGGACCTCAATCTGGACTCTGAGCTTAACAGTTGTATTGATTCTTTGATGGGGGACTCTAACCCTTTAGAAGCCTTGGAAGATTTTAATGTTAGCGATAATGCCTGTGCTTCAGATGACTCAGAAAAAACCGTTATTTTGCCGCCTGAAAAGCAGTACAAAACACCCACCACTTTTCTTGGCATTTTATCATCATCGGAGGGTGCCGGTAGACAGGGAGTCAATTCTCTTACTCATGAGGTGGCACCTCAAACTAGTAAATCTTTAGATGACACTAAGCTCCACTTGGGACGGGAGACAACCCCAACATTAGTGGCCTCTAGTAAGGACCCACCTTTTGATCCCTCTAAATTCATCATAAGTACCCCTCAAGATCCTGAAAATTCTCTTGCCATTGAAGATAGTACCTCTCTAACCAAAGAAAAAGATTCTTGTTTAAAAGAGGCTTCAGAACCTAAAAAACAAACCACCATACAGTCAAAGGCAGATGAAATCAAAGAGAGGGTTCTCCAGTATTTATTTTCAGAAGACCGCAAGAATGCCTCTCTCACTCCACCTGCCCCACCAGTGCAAAGGTCGATTTCTCCGCCACCTCCTGTGATCGGACCGATCACCATTCCATATTCCAAAACTTCAAAGAAAAATGAAGTAACACAAACAGCTCCGTCAGAAGAAATCAAAGACCATGCAAGAAACAAGCCAAACAACAGCTCAGCTTTTTCTCAGAGAGAAAAATCTAAATTTTCTTCTCAAGGAAATAGTAGATCAAACGAGTCAAGAAAAGTAATTGTGCCAGCAGTTGAGGAATTTTTGAGTGAAAAAACTTCTGAAGAAGCAGAAAAATCTCCTGCTATCTGCCAAGGTGAAAGTAATATCAATGAAGAGCCTGTCAAAATTACCAGCTGTCCTAATCAGAATGAAGAGCCAACCGAAGTAGATAAAGTCCTTCGACTTGTTAATACCTTGAAAGAGTGTCAAGAAAAGTTAAGTCCTGAAGAATTTGAAATGTTACTTGAAGAACGGGTGAAGAAAGCACTTTTGATAAGAGTTTTAGACGAATATAATAGGAAACTTATTCATTTGGAAAGTGATGTAATAAATTATATTGTTTCACTCCTTGAAGAAAAAAAAGAAAACGAGGGTAAGAAAAAGAAAAAAAAGAAAAAAAACAAGGAAAAAGACAAAATTAAGCCAGTGTTAAAATCAGCTGTCATGGCAGCAAATACTGTGAAAAAAAGTAGGTCCATAGAATCGATCACTGCAGAAAAAAGATCGCCTGTAACAAAGGCATCTCCGTACCAAGTTTCAGATTCCTCTCACAGTGTTCGAAGCCAAAAATCTCGAAGCATATCTTTGTCAAAATCCAGGTCTAAGTCCAGATCTAGATCTCCTGTACGCAGAAGAAACCTCACAAGGTATCCATCACCCAGGAGAAAAAATATCCATTCGAGGCATCGAAGGTGAGTTGCACCATTTTTTTAATTGCTCCCCACTAGTTTTTTTTCTTCTTTTATTTGCAAATTAAACTAACAGGAAAAAGAATCTAAGTAAGTTCGGTTCAATTGTCGTTCGACCATTCCTTTTGACGTGGAAATTACTAAACTTAAAAGATGACCATTTTTTAAGTTGCAGATTTTAGCTGCTGTTGTCACTCATCAAGTGAGTGCCCCACAGTCACTTGTTTAATCTCGTCATAAAAAATGTTTACACAGGAAAATTTTTCCATTGTAAAATGTACCAAAATTAGTTTTGTCCTCTACTTGACTCAAGTAGACCCTTGTATTTCTGTGGGCAGAAAGTGGGCAAAAAGGCAAAAATCATTAATTTAGAAAATTAGTTAGATCTTATGAGATGAATTTGGAAAGTTTCAATGCTCCTATCGTATTCTAAATAAAATTTTAAAAAGGAAACATGTATGGTGGTGCTATATTTGTATCCTGTCTAATGGTCTAATGCTTTCAATCAAAGAAGAATTTCTCCTCTATAAAAGCACAAAAGCAAATTCATTTTTCTCAGTGCCCCTTTGTGAAGGTCAGTAACTTTAATTATTGATGAACAGCTAAAAACTCAAATCTTTTGGTAAAAATTTTTCTCATTATTTGTCTGATTTATTTACTGTTATTTAATTCAGTTTAATTGTTTGTAGGTCTCGATCGCGGTCGCCCCTATCAAGAGGCCGGCGGATTGATTATCGGCGCTCCCGATCCAGATCATTCTCTCCTGCAAGACGCAGAAATTTCTCAGGTGGCAGGACGAGCCGATCACCAGCTCGGAATCATTCCACCAGGTATTCTAGACGATCTTCAAGTCGGTCTCCGAGCCCCAGAAGACCAATGAGTCCTTTGAGCCTTGCAAGGGGATTAAACCTCCCCAACCGCCAATCTAGTCCTCACAGATCTCGATCTCCCTCAAGAAAACAACAACTAGATAAACTCAGGGAGAAGTTGAAAAAAGAAAATGAAGACGCTGTGAAAAATCTACGAGAAGTTGTGGAACCTCACTGTAGTTCCTCCAGTTTAATGACGCACAATATAACCATAGTAAGTACATAATCTATTCATAATTTTTTCCATTGCAGTAACATAATCGTGATTTTTCGTGTCTAGGTGTCAAATTAACTGCGATCGCTGATCAACCAATCTAATTCCTCAGTGGGATTATTTTTTGCAGGTTTTCGTTGTGGACGGTATTTACCAGTGGTATGTAACTGATGATTCCCTGTGTGTGATGATAATGGATTCTCTCCTGTAGATTATTCAGCTAATGGGACAGTGACAAAGAAATTTTACAGGGTTATAGTAAAGTTTTTCCTATTTTAAATTTTGTGAAAAAACCGAGAAGCTCATTAAAAAGTTCTTTTAAGTGTTTCTAAATTAACGTCACTTGAAGGAATTTTAAAGAAATTTTCAATCCCCAAAACCGTTCCTTTGTGAAAAATGAAGTGTTCCAAGAACACGGCTGATGTCATGTGCCGTTCCTTTTCCAGAAATGCGGTCCATTTGCTGAGGTGGATTTTGCTCTGGTTAATTTTAGCGAAAAAATATCAGAGGAGTCTTTCAGCCTGGGATAACTAGATCCTTTCAGATGCATGACATGTTGCATTTTCTATGATGCCTGAAGACGAGAAAAACTGAGCCTGGATGTCTTTTTTGGAATGCAAATTTTGCGAGTTTTTTCTGAGAATAAAATGTATTTCTATAACTCTTGATCTGTCCTGTCATTAATTAATTATTATTCCGAGTCCCATTTTTTTTAGTTTCTCCCATTATCTCTCAACCATGATAACAGTCATAAACTTTTTCTAATTTTGATTTTTGTCCTTTTGCAGCCATCTAAATCGAATGCAAGTTACTTGCCAGCACAGAGTGATTTTAGTGTTCCATCTGTAGCCATGGAGGATCAGTGTTTACCTCTTTCGGATGCAAGCCACCAAACTCAATATATGTATGGAGGAGCTCCATCGATTCCACCGCACGGTCAAGATCCTTATCAAGTCATGTACGGAGCTCCAAACCAAGCCTCTGGATTAAACATGTTTCCGTATCAGCCACTTAGCAATGAAATCCCCCCTGGATATTCAAATCAGATGCATCCACCGGTTATGCATGCTCCAGTACTTAATTTACCAGAACCTCCAGCCACACTTCCACCATCTCTACCTCCTCTCCCGCCAATGTATACAACACCTCAATCCTCTACCCCTTTGATGTCTAATAGCTCCTTATTCCTGCCGAACTCCATGTATACCCTGGAACCAGCTTTCAGTACATCAAATACTGAGCAACAGCCACATGCTCAGCTGTTAGGCCAGATTGGGCCGGGCATCACATCGCAATATGCCCCTCTCCCTAAGCCTGTTTCAGCACCTCAGCCTGTCCCAACTCCTGTTCAGCAAACTCCCTCACAACTAAAATCCTCTGTAGAATTAACAGTAGCCCAGAGTTCCAACTATTACGACCCTTTGTTACCTGGTGAGGAACCATCACCAGAAATGATCAACTCTACATCCATGACAGCTTCTAATCTTCAGAACTCAGAACTCAGGAAAGTAAATGCCAATAGCTGCGATGGTGAAGAGGTCATAACTGCAACACCAAAATCTCTCTTGGCAGGCCCAAAGAACTCTATCAAGTTGAATTTTATCTCTGATCAGGACATAGAAGTAATTGAAACTCCCCCGAAAGCCCCCCCGACTCTTGTCGTATTGGATGATGAGGGGGATAATGATCAGAATGAAGGACCTAAGAAGACCAAGGTCACCTCCTCACCTATCATCATCAAATCGGTCGAAGATATCAACAATTCTCTTGCTGCTCAAGTAGCCTCTCCTCTTGAAGAGGGCCAGCTCAGACCGATCTCAAGCTCAGAGACACGAGAATGTCTAAAGGCTGCACTTGTAGAAAGAAGTGCTGTTCTCACAGCCAAAATTGCTGAACTCAAGAAAAGCTTAAATTCTCAGGGAGAGGATGTGAAAGTAAAAAGTAAACCTATTAAAAGAAAAGGAGATTCTGCAAAAAGGAGAAATTTGCAAGCTGAACTTGCAAATAAAGTCGGCGCTGCCACCTCAGCACTATCAATTTCCACTGCAGATAGTCGAGAGAAACATAAATGTGAAAATGGAAGGGAAAATCTTCACCTTGACAGTACCAAAGACATGGCTGAATCTGGCAATGAAGAAATGGTATCATTACTTTCAGAAAGAAAGAAGAAGAGAACAAGAATAGTAACGAATCATGACAGCGCAAAACTGATTCTTCCCTTAAATGCAGCAATGCCAGAGACTAAAACCTCCAACCAGAAGAAAAAGAGTGATTTGACTTCTGATACTTCAAGTGACCTTGGACAGGTCACTGAAGTAAATTTTTCATCAGCTGAAAGCAGCAAAGAAGACAGGATTAGTGTTGATTGTCAGTTGGACAAGAGGAAGAGCAAAGAAGAGACAGTAGATAAAAATTGCAATATCTCCAAAAAGAATCAGAATGATTCCAAATTGGCATCCGAAGTAACTGCCAAAGAAAATGAATGTGTGGTGGATACTAAATTTGTAAATAAATTAGATGAAGTTCCTAAAAAATTGCCCACAGCACTGACACCTGAGGATACCGTTACCAATAGTGAAGTCTCGAAAACCGTGCATAGCGATAAGACTGTCCTCTCAAAATCTGAGAAAGGCCCCACCTCAAATAAACCAAAAGAAAATTTAAAAGACTTGAAAAATTCAGACAAGAGTAAATCATCTCATTCAAAATCATCAAAATCTGATTCGCAAGGAAATTTGGTCACAGATAAACCAAGTAAACATAAATTAAGTGAAGACTCTGCCCTCAAACAATTCAATGACATTGCCACCACCATTGCTAACCACCATGCACCAAAAGATAATTTAAAAGACTTGAAAAATTCAGACAAGAATAAATCATTTCATTCAATATCATCCAAGTCTGATTTGCAAGAAAATTTGGTCACTGACAAACCAATTAAACATAAATTAAGTGAAAACTCTGCCCTCAAACAATTCAATGACATTGCTACCACCATTGCCAACCACCGTGCACCAGCACCAACCAACGCCTCTGAAAAATGTGATAAGTCAGCTGACCCATCTTTTCTTTCTCAAGGAGACAAGTCTAGTAACAATTGCAGTATTCCCATCGAAGTCCATGAAGATAAATCAACTCATAATAGTACAAAAGACAAAATATCTGTCAGTAAACTCGAGAGTGACAAAGGCTCTAAACATGCAGAAAAAGGCGCTAAACTATCTAGTAAAGAAGGAAATCATAATCTAAATAAAGACATGAAAAGGTCTAAACTTGACGGTGTCAAAGATAGTAAACATTTGGAAAAACATGCCAAACCATCTAGTAAAGAAAGGAATGATAATTTGAAAATGACCAAAGTTGACAGCGATAAAGACTCTAAGCATTCAGAAAAAGGTGCGAAACCATCCAGTAAAGGAGGAAATGATAATTTGAATAAAGATGTGAAAAAGTCTAAACTTGACAGTAACAAAGATTCTACACATTTGGAAAAACGCGCCACACTCTCCAGTAAAGAGGGGGATGATAATCTGAATAAAGTAGAAAAATCCTTTAAGAAGGTTCGAACTTTATCTTCATCATCTGAAGATTCAGTCAAAGGACTTGAGCAGAGTAATAATAGTACAGAAATGAGGAAGATCTCATCATCAAAACTACTAAAAGATGCAGGCAGTATAAAACATGCAGAAAAAGAGAAAATTCCTTCCTCAAAAACAGTCGGCAACTCTAGTCAAAAAGTTCACCTCCCATACGGAGATAAAACTATTCCAAAAATGAAAGGCTATATTTTGTGCCCCAAAGATTCGAATACACACAAGGAATCTGAGACACTGAATATCAATGAACAATCCTCTCTGAAGTTACTAGACTCATCAGCAGCCTCAGTGGTGGCGGCTCCTCCTCATAGAAACCAAGAGAAACTATCAACAGAAATTGGTAGTGTAGCTCCCGCTAAAAGTGAACCATTGAGCCAACGACCCGCAAGCAGATCCGATGAAAAATCAAATCGAGATTTGATTTCAGCTGGAGTAACTCTAACAAATTGCACAGTAGCATTGCGTAGGATACCCGATAGTACCTTTTTGAGACTTTCCACCAAAGGCAGCATACGAATAAAAACAAAATACACTAATAGACCATCCTGGGCATTTAATAAAGTCAAGAGGCCTCGTCCAATCATTACTGATTCAGATTCAGATGAAGAAACTTCAAAAGTTTTGGCAAGAAAACGTCTTTCAGTGCTTGATTCTGATTCTGAGGAATCTGAAAGTAAAAAATCAAAACCACCTGTCAAAAAGCGTGTATCCATATTAGATTCAGACAGTGAGTTAATGTCAGATAATGAGAAACCAAAGCCTATTCTCAAGAGGCGTGCATCAAGAATAGAGTCTGACTCAGATTCAACCCCAGAAAACTCACCGATTCAAGCTCCTCAATGCAAACGACGTCTTCCGGAGTCATTCACCAATTCAAATAAGGCAAGTGAGACTGTAGAAACCTCAGCTCCTCTTCAGCGTTTAATGTCTGAGATATCCTCAGACTCAGATAAAACTGTTGTAGAAAACAGTAAAACACTCAAAGAACAGAAGAGGCTTGAGGTAGATTCTGTGATGAAGGATTCTACCCTTCTCAAGAAGAAGACTTTGACATCTGTAACAAAGAGTATTGAAACTACGAAAAAAGTGAAAGAAGAAGCCAGTAAATCTGTTGAAGAGAAGCTCCATGAAAATATTCCTAAATTTCAGATGAAGTCATTTAAGATCCCTAAACTTAAAAAGCCCACCAGTAGCTCAGAGTCAAATGAGAGAATTGAAAAAAGGTCTATTTTAAATGACAGAAACAGTAATACGATCCTACCTGACGATCGACCCAAAGAAGTAGTTCCTAAGCCAGTTTTGAAAGGACTTAGGAACCGGGCTGCATCCCTCGCAAGCCGCGCGGTAAAATCAGACAGTAAAACCGCTCAGGTTGATCCACCAAAAACACCGAGAGAGAGCTCTATTCAAGAAGAAAAGTGCTTTTTGAATTTGAACACTGCGCAATGGAACGAAAATTCAACACTCAAAGAAAATGTCGCTACCTCTTCTGGTCCTCTGGAAGATAACGAAAAAATTCCTGCTCAAGGTACAAAACATCTGGCCAATGCAGACACAAAAGTGGTCAACATAAACACAAGTAAAATTACCCCGAATGTTGTTGGATCAAGAGATACTTGCCATGTCGACGTAATGGAATCTCGTAATGAAGAACCTGAGCTGCCAGAAGAACCCTCTTGTGAAACTAATTTTGCTGTGGAAAAAGTGGTCGCTCTCACGCAAAATGCTGGAGAAGTGGTTTCATGTGTTGGTGACAGTGATTCATGTTCAGCTCATACCTCCGAGGCTGTAATAGAAATGAATGTTGAAGTGAGTGATTCCTCTACTAATAAAGATATTTTGCTGAAAGAGGGAAAAGATACAGCATCAAATACTCCCGCAATTAGTGACACCACTTCCTCTGAAGGTTTGACTTCGTTGGCAGTGAAGGGGAAAGATGCAGAATTAGAAGTTCCTTGTGTAGAGGAAAATATCACCCCAAATGATCCAAATTCTGATACTCCTGCAGTGAATGATAAAAAGCTAATAAGTCCCTCAAACTTTCAATCTGATGTCTCCTCTAAAAATCTATTTCCTGGAGCTGAGGAGTGTAAAGACGTCAATGCAATAGTTCCTGTCAGCGGCGAAGATATTTCACCAGAAAGTTTTACAGCAGTCCCCAAAGAAGAAGAAGAAGAAGAAGAAGAAGAAGAAGACGAAGAAGAAGAAGGAGAAGAAGAAGAAGGAGAAGAAGAAGAAGGAGAAGAAGAAGAAGGAGAAGAAGAAGAAGAAGAAGAAGAAGAAATCAAACATAGTCTGATTTGCTCAAACAAAGCTCCCTCTGAGGTCGAGGCTGTTCCCAAAACTGATATTGAATCTAAAACTGAGTTTGTGGAACCAACGACCGAGAAGTCTGTACCTGAATCACCAAGTAAATCTTCATTAACTGAAAGTAAGCACTTTTCTTTTCCCCATTCAATGTTTTTCCACAAAATTTGTTGCTCTTTTCAATTTTTTCATTGTTGTTTATTCAACAACTGTTTATTTCAACCTATAAGTGTTTCATTCTTCCGTCACTATAGTGGTTCTACTGTTTTCTTGCTAATAGTAATCATCCACTTCTGAAACAAAGAGCCCTACAATAATTGAGGATTTCTTGGTAAGAGGGCATATACGTTCCCACGTCTGTTTTCAGGAGGAAGTATTTTCTCTATAGCATCCAACAAAATACAGTTCGTACATGTTCCTATAGAAAGAAGTGAAATAGAGATCATAATGTGAGGGAGGGATATACATTTTTGGCATTTTTGTGTATAGAGGCAGCGTTAAACGAAACTGCATTGCATAGTGGACTTCTGTGCGCCTGTATCATCTGCGCGTCCATGGATAGTGGACGATGACTTTAATTCCTCTTAATTTTTTAATTGAAACAAAAAATTAGACGTGTTGTCATAATTGAACTCATCTCACCCATCATCTACGCCACAAGAAAAACAACATCAATAATCAGAAAGAAATTATCTCAGCACAAGAAAATCGTTCACTGGCAAAAGGTTGCATAGTTTGTTTTTGTAAAAGCTTCACATTAGGACAACCTTACATACCAGACATCTGCAATTTTGCACACTTCATTTCAACGGATTAGTGTGCAGGAATAACTTTAAGGTTGGGGGACTTTTCAACCATCGCAGAAAGGACACTTTTTATCTTGTAAAATGTATTTTCCTGAAAAGAACGATTTTCATTTTACTATGCTCTTCTATTGAAGAAGTCCTCAATGGTAATCATACTTTAAACAACAAAAAAAAATGATCCACATAGAGGGCTGTGGTAGCTCAGAGATTTTGCAGTTCTTCCCAAATCCGCTCCCAGTAACAGGATGTTCTCGAATTTGAAAAAATTGCTGTTCACATTTTAAATGTATCTTAATGAGATGTGTAAGTTTTTAAAGGCAGTGTAAAAAAGAAGCAGAAACTTTCAGCAACCCTGCATTTTGTTATTTTTCAATGTCATCAGATTTTTTGACTGTTTGGAAGACGTTTTTTCCACCTTGTAAAATTTTTCAAAAAATTGGTTCTATGTTTACTTAGTAATGACCTAATATCTACAGTCAAATTTTATGAATAATTAGTATTCAAGATGATCAATTGATTCACTCTCATTTTATTTTTGAATTTTGAGCATATTTTCCACTTCTCTTTAAAACATGACCTATTGACCTCAGAGGTACTACTTTACATTTCAATTGGCTCATGAAAAAACGTCTGATATCTCTATCACCAAATTTTTTTCTTTTTGAATGAAGTGTTCTCAAAGAAAAACGCATCTTTTCCGTCATCATACACCCTAATACCCAGAAAATAGAATCACCCATGTCTTTAGTTTGGTTTCTTTTCATTCTATACCCGAAACTCGATTCTGTGTGATTTGCTTCTTGATATCTTAAGTTTGGAATAATTTAACTGATCCTTTCTTTCTATTTATATTTCTTTTTCTCTTTTTTTCAGGAATAGCCCAGCAAATTGAAAGGAAAAGAAAGATTAAAGAGCATAAGATTGCTCTAGATAAACAAAACCTGAAGAGAAAGATCAAACAGATGAAACTAGGAAAGAAGATCGAAAAATTATTGGATAAAAATCTTGTTCTCAAAGCAACTTTAACCCATTATAAAGGTAAGCTAAAAGAAGCAAATGAAAGGAATCTCATTCTGGAAAAGGAATCCTCCGGAAAAGTTAAAAGTAGCAAAGCCGTACAATGTTCTATTTCCTCATCTGGAGTATCTGCAGCCAAAGTTTCAACATCAGCCTCTTCACCAAGTATTAGCCGTAGTCCAATTACTAAGACATCTGCTGCATCACCCTCCTCGCCAGCTTCAAGCCGGAGCCCAATTATTAACAAACATCTCAAGTCCTCACCTCTTTTAACCTATAAAGCTAGGAGAGGTCTGAAAGTTTGGAATTATTTAAAAAGCCAAAATTCCAAGAAAACTGTAAGTTGTCAGGCTGATGGATCGAAACTTGATTGTAAGTTAATAAACACAAATCATTATTACTTACTCGATACATCAGAGTTAAATCTTCCATATGTGATAAATGCACTTAAAGAGTACCAGGATTCATCTGATAGTTGAAGTTCAGTTAGAAGTAATTGTAGAAGTTTTCAAATTTCTTATCCCTCTTTTTTATTTTTTAGCCAACTTCCCTCATCTAATGCAACACTTCTAAGCATATCTTTCTATATTTAAAGAATAATAAATGTTAAGAGAGTTATCACTTTAGTTTTTCAATCAAAATTATTTTCGGATTTATTTTTCTATACAAGTGTATCTATGTTTGATAGACCAGTTGTGCTCCAATTCATGTTTTTCTGGTGGTTACATAGCAAATAATGACCGTTTGTGCTTGAACTATGAGCTTAATTGTAAAGTCATAATCTTTTGTAGCAATGATTACCTCAATTTCTCGAAGTATTGATTTTTTTAATGGGAAATGTGGAACTTACAACGTAGGTGCAATACAGTCTCTATTTTTGTTCATTATCCATCAGCTTAGCAAATCCTCGTACTTTCAAATTGTAGGTAACAGACTGATTCTTTTTTCCCTCTCTATAGAACGCAGTGAGCACAACAATACTTGAAAAAAAATTGAATGTCTTGCTTTGATAACTGCCTGACTGTGTTGTGAACTCTATTGCATTTAAGTTTTTACATTTTCATTTTTGCAATAAATATTAGCCAGCATGCTTCATAGAAAGGTTCTAAAATTTCATAATGTATTTATTTAAAAAAAATTAACTTAACAAAAGGATTTTTTTTGACTCAGTACCTTCGTTCGTTCTCTTTTTCCCAAAGAGCTGAAACATTGCAGTAGAGTTTGATAGCTTCTGAAGCAAGCCACTAAATTATATCGTACGTTGTCTCATGTAATCTGTTGTACAATGAAACTGCTAAGTTAATTCATTTTAAGTTTGGTACACTCTTGATGTAAATTGGGTGCCATCAAGTAGTAGTGACCAGTCTATATCAGGAGTTTTAAGAAATCGGTTTTTGTACAATAGTTTAGCTTTGGTATGCATATAAAATTGTGAGAAGGTGAAGTGACGTATGCCAAATCAAATCAGAGGTGGATTATGAATTTTAATTTAGAATTAGAAGTGCAGATATCTCTCAATATTTCATCAAAGGCCCAAGTTATTCAAGAGGTTTTTTAAAACTTTCTTGCTATCAAATCATTACCTCTAAATGCAATAATTGCTCTTGTTGTTTATTCAATTAAAACAATCTGCACAAAAGTATTTTGGCCCTTTCTTCGATCACTCCACAATACCTACTGCTTGGTGACATCCAGCTATTACGTTCCTTGTTTCTTTGATTGAAGTGAAATGTTTTTACAGAATTTTTCTGCAACGCAAGTTATTTCTGTTCGTAGTTCCATATTCTTACCAACCTATTTGTTCTTTGTATTGCAGTTTTTCAAATTTTTATTATGATTTTTCTATTTAAGAAGGGAAGAATGGCGTGTATTGGTCAAAGTATTTTGATGGCCATACTCAAAAGCTTCCTATCTTAATCCCTGTCTTAAAAAATGCCAGCTTAAATTTTATTTTTCTTATTGGAAAGAGCCAAGTAATGCTTGAAATTTTTTGTAAAATATTTTCCTATCAAGGAAGATAAGTCACAGAATTTTTCAAGAAATTGTGTCTGTTAAGTTTTCAACTAAAGAAATCAAGTATCACGGAAAATCTGAAATATGGCATATCAGGATTTTCGGTTTCGGAGTTTAGCCATCCATTGTGTACCTCTATACTTGTATGTTGTGTTGCAGGGAAATTTATATTAACTTGCCAATATAATACCTAGTCTTTAGTATAGAAGTGGAGAGGGATAAAAAAAATGTTAGTTCAACAAAAATAACATCTTGAAAAAAAATTCACTTATAACACGCCTGTTGTTAACACTTTCCATTTGGTTAGAAAATTGGTATTCCGTTTGAACAAAGAGAATTGAACCATTGAAACTGGAAGGTAAATTTTTCTGGACCGGTTATGACCTGTCCAATTTAGGTCTTTTGAAGCCCATTTGAGCTTTAAGTATTAATTTGTTTATCCTATATTTTTGAATAAATCAAAGTCTATTTTTTACACGTGTAAGTTTTGGGAAATTTAACTGTAAGTCAACTTACCATCGCCAGATTAGCACACAATTGTTATACCATTTGAATCTCTCCTTAATGTGTAAGTGCTCTAAAATCAAAACATTTGGCATGTTTTCTATTTGTTTGGTATGATAATGAGAGAACTTGCAAGAACTGCAGAATGGGCCCTCAGGGATTTGAATTTTCATTTCAATGCTTCACTGGTAGATGGAATCTGAAATCCAGGGTCATGTAACCAACAGATAGAGAATGTTAGTAGTTTATTTTGGATGAATCTATTTGTGGGTCCAACTTTAGAAATACTCATGAAAACTGGTGATGTCTGAGTTTACTTTGATGTATTTTGTTTGTCGACAGTAATAATAGAGATTAAAATAATGAAGATGACTCTCTTGATGTCTTCGGAACGTCTGAGAATGGATAGCAAATAATTGCAGGGTAATGATTCCCATGCAATATTTTCGTAAAAGCGCGAGCGTCATATTAGCATCAGTGTTGTCAAGCCCAATAGAGTGATTCGACTGATGACTGTCCCTCACTAAAACACCCGACATCAGGAACGTCACCATTGTTGTAGAAGTAGAAAGTAAAATTCACCTCTTCATAGGTGCATTCCATAAGGGAGGGGACTCAGAAAAAGATTGTTATGTACTATTTAGGAAGATAGCAAAGTATTTTATTTTTGTGTTCATTTTATATTTATTTTTTAGTGGTTTATATTCTCAATTACCATAGTGGGCAATAAGGTGAATGAATAATTAATTCTTGAAATCAGCAGCAGGATGAAAATGACATGTGTTTTGTCTTTCATCATGACTATAATTGTGCCTGTCTTTTTTTCAAACTTTTTGTGGAAACAAGACATATCTTAAGCAGAATTTTCTGTACTGTCATCTGCTGTCTCACATGCAGTAATAGGATTTTTTTTTTTTTAAACATTACTTTTACAGGAATCAATGTTGTATTCCAAGTCTGTACTTTACTCGGCTCAACATAGCTTTATTCGCTCTTTTTGTAATTTGATAACGTTCTTGGTCTTTGAAAACTTGCAGGTAACTAAACATTTATAATGTAAGTAAATCACCACAAAAATGAATTTATGTAATGGCCTGAAATAAGTAGACAAGCATGTAAGCACGTTCTCTTTATGTTTATAAAACAGGCTGTTTTAAAAGAAAAGAAGAAGAAGAAAGGCTGGATTTTTTTAAAGAAATAGAGGAATATCGGGTCAACCCTGTCTCCATTACCGGCTTCCATCTTTATCTACATATATGTTGTGTTACCGCCATTTTTTTCTTTTCTTTTGGAAATATTGAAAATTTTAGAAGCCAAGCTCATGATGAACGAAAAAAACAATTAAAACAAGACAATTTGCTAGAAGTGCTAAGAACAAAATTGAAATGTCTGAAGTATGTATCTTAGGTGCACCTTTGTAGCATGAGTTTCATGTTCAAAGATTCACCAGTTATGATATCAGAGAGCTTAACAAACCTCTCATGGGTCAGTGGCGCGTATTTTTTTCTCAGTTCATTTTCTTCAAGTACTGAATGAATTGAGCTCCTAGTGATTATTTCGGATTTTTCTTCTTTTTCCACTTGGAATCACAGAGAAAATTGATTTTTTAGTCACCCAAATCTGGATCTATTTTAAAAACATTTTTGGCAGTCTGTTATAACATGAGGAGTCTGCATTTGCTGATGGGCTGTAGCTCAGCTAAAGACTTGTCCTAGTTATGTCATCGCGACTATTAGCCCCTAGTTAATCTCATTTTCATATGCTTTTAGTCTCTCCTCAGAAGTGCTGTTTAAAATTTTTTAGTAGACTTTTTGGTTTTTCAAGTAACTTTACATGGGTAATATCTATCAGCTTTTGTGCCGAAATTTCATGCCACTAACCCATCCTACTTTAATTTGTACCTCGGCACATTTTACTCACAATTTGCCTAATTATTTGGAATCCAGCCTTTTAGCTTCGGGTGAGCCTTAATTTTTTTCATTTGCCTTACCAAACAAAAAGTCTGAGTAATATTTAATTCAACCTCAAATGAATTTTTTGGATACTTCATTACATCTTCTTGAACGCCCTCTCTCACAAAATGGCATTACTTTCAAGCATTATCAATCAATATGTGCAGGAAAATACTTTTTTCAAAACTTTGTACATAGTGAGTGTCATTTCCCCTTTAACTTCCTTGAACAAATATGTTAAAGCCCCTTGCAAACAAAGTAGAAAGAAAATTATATACAATCAATATCAGTACAAGTTCCATAGTCGCAATGCTCTTAGCTCTTAAGATTCTAGGCCTCTAGATAATATGTAAACCTTCAGTGCTGTTTTTGAAAATTTACTTAAAATTTACATGTATGTACTCTTTTTTTTCTCGTTATTTCTAACATTGCACATTTTTTCCCCCGCAAGATAATTTAAAACTTGATTTATTGCTTTCTGCTCAAGTATTATTAAGAAGTTTGCCTTCAAAGTAAGAAGATAGGAAGAAATGAGAAGATTTTTTATTTTTATGTCATTTTATTTTTTTTTTCTCTTGCACAGTTACCTTTTTTGTTTGTCTATTCATTTTTCCCCGAGTGTTTCTTCATACGGCAAATTCGTGTTTTTGATATGTATTATTGATGGCGAAACTTGAATAGATTGCACTATAGTTCAACCACCTCAAAGCGATTCTCCTCATTCTGTTTTTCTTAAGAGGAGTATTAACAGTAAGCGTAAAATTTTTCTGTTCTACAATTTCATAACCATCTTTTAAACATTTTGAGTCTCACTGTTGCTTAATTGTTTCTCTGAAAATGAAGTAGGTAAAAATTTTGAAACGTTAGAATAATTGAGGTGTGTGATCTGGGAAGTTAGTTATCAAGTGTGAACAAGTAGAACCGGAACATTATGCCTCAAAGACATATCAACTGGGGAATTACCAGACCATGTATCTCAGTTTGCGAAGTTGCAGACTTCCTGTCATACTTTATTTTTTAAATGAGAAACTATTCAACATTGTCTCTTGAAAATCACTGTGATTTTTCTTCCCTGTGCGAAGAAAACTCTGTGAATACTTCAAGAAATGATATTGATTTGTTCTTCCTCAAAAGGATAAAGTGGGAATGGAGATTTTGAACATCAAGAATGAGATACGTGGTCTACTATAGTTTCATCGTTGATATCTGATTGTAATATCTAATATTCATTAAAGATCTTGGCACTTCCTTGAATACCCATTGTAAACAGTTCTGTTGTTTCTATTGATTATTTTCCTATCTCATATATTGTTTTATAGGTATTTAAGTTTTTAGTCTCAAACTACTTTTGCTGTGATACCTACTGTAAATAATTTTTGTTAATGTATATACTTATTTATGTGTTAAAATTGAACTCATGTACATAATAGAATTGAAAATAAATTTTATTCTTTTTTTACAGTTTAATATCAGCAGCATTCTTCTTTTCCAACTTTACACAAAATCTACCTATTTACTTTATAGGTATACATAAAGTTTATTAAAATTACACAGGTAGCAAGTCATGCTACTTACCATGACAACAGTGGATTCAAATAAATGCATAAAATATCAAAGGTAAATCTGCAGAAATGCACATCTCGATTTGCACCACTACAGACTCCCTGTCATACTTCATTTTCTACATGGGAAACTACTAAGTAAACCTCTTTTCTTGAAAACTTCAGTGATTTTTCTTTTCTATTATAGAAGAATATACTGTGAAAGACTCCTGTTTGGTCTCCTTTTAAAAATGAAATAGGAGCCAAGATTTTGAAACTCAGCGACTGTGATATGCATTTTGTAGTTTCACCATCGACATTTAACATAATGAATAGTAAAATAAAATAAAAAGAAAGGAGAGAGGGAGAGGAAAAAATTGAAACACAGTGAAGGAAGTACCTAAGTGAATTACTTATTAACATTAATTAATTAAGAAATTAGAGGATTTTACCCAAATCGTTTGGACCTCAGTTAAAGAAACCCTCATTCTTACAAAAGAATACTCATACATTTCTTTGTGATTTATTTAATGACAGGAACGTAAAGAGTTCCATTTTTTATGATGGATCTGCACGGTCTTGCTGAAACTCACTGGTTTGCAAAAAACGAGATGAAAAATTGGAAAATGTCTACTTATTAGGTACTTACTCAGGAAGAAAGTGAAAACTCGGGAGAAAGTTTTGAAAAAAATTAGAGGATCCCAGAAATTTTCAGAGGAACACCAATGTTTTTTCTCATTCTCAAGTAGATGTTTCTTAGGTAAGCCAGCCCAGGTAGCAAGGTCTGCTATGAAATAATTTTTATTATATCTTCGAAATAACAGTTTTATTGCTATTAAATGAGAGTTTTAATTCCTATTAATATATTATAAAAAAACAATTTATATCGGTTGAAAAGATCAATTAAAGTACTCCCCAGTTACAACAGTTTCAGGCGCTATATTCCTATTTTATGAAGTTAAAAATAACAGTTTAAAATAATTTAATGACATAAATCAACAATGATTAAAGTAGTGAAAAACAAATTTCATTTGGAAAATTTACTGGTGTGAAGCGACACTTGTCTTAAAATAAAAATAAAAAATTTAAATGTTGAATACGAGTTTTGAATTATTCTTGTAAAGTATTAAAAAAAACTTAAAATATCCATAGAAAAACTAATTTCTAATAATAGAACGACTCGTAAAATTGTAGTTTTATTGAAAATTAACAGTGTCAATATATGAAATTTTATTCGTTTTTAATATTTTGTTAAACTGTTATTTTTTGGTTTTAAAAGATCAATTATAGAACTCCCCAGTTTCAGGCCTCATATTTCTATTTTGAACACCGATGACGGTGAGCACCGATACTTCCTCTAAGGAGGAGCAACAAAGACTATGCAGCAGGGATGTGACTACACTCGACACACCACACTACAATCAACGCTATAGATAGGCCCATGCCCTGTCTAGGCACAGTTAACCACAGGGGGGTCATCAAAAATGTGAGAAGAAAATCCACTCATATGCACCGAACAAAGCAAACATAGAAGCCGTCGATAAAAAAACGTATGTCGTAGAATATAAATAATATATTTTATGTTTTCACTACACACAAAGGTTAGACAGGCACCATAAACGACCCATCCAAAAACAAAATAAATCGGAGCTCTCTATCGGAAATAAAAGGAAACACCCCGATTACAATAAAACAATCGGAAATTAAAATCGGTATTTAAAAAAATAATGTAATACTAATTTATATTTCACAACTGTTTAAAATAAAATGTTTTGCAGAAAAACTGCAATAAATCAGATATTTAAACTGTCATTTTATCACTATCACTTGTATCTTTTTATCGATTTAAATTATATTTTCCTTGTTAGTGATAAATAGTTATCAAAGTTTTTTATAAGGATTCTTTTTCGACAAAAATAAAAGCTACACCGGTTTTCAGGAAACAATGATTTAAAAATAGTTTCTCACCAATATTCTTTAATAAATAATGTAATAATAATTAATATTTCATGGTTATTTATAAGAATGTGTTTTGCAAAAATATGGCAACAAATGAGATATTTAAATTTGTTTTTTATTGTCTTTTTTTTTATCTTTTTATTGATTTAGATTAAATTTTTCTCATTAGTACAGTATAATACTTTATGTTTTGTAAAATAGCTTTTTTAAAACAAAATGGTCTACTTCTGTGTTTTATGAAATCAACTTTAAAAAAAAATAAATTAGAATAATTTTTTTAACTTTTTTTAGTTATTAAAATGTTAATCTACTTTCCTTTCTTTAAAAAAGTTTTGTTAAGTAAGTGATTTTGATTGAGAATTTTAAACCGTCGTTTTATTTCAAATCTAAGTATGTTTTTATTGCAATAATAGTTTCCTTTTCGATCGGTGTATAACACTAGTTAAATTTGTGTTATATTTTCAGAAAACATGACTAAATTATAAATTTTCCACTGGTATTTTTTAAGTTTGTAAGAAAAATTTTTCAGTGATTATAGTCGCAAAGGACTTCTCTTTTCCGTTGGTTTTTCAACTGTTGTACTAGAGCAAATTTTTCGATGAAAAAGTGCACAAAAGTAACAGTGTAAAAACTGTTGTGAAATTGCAATTTTGAACTGTTACTATTGCTACCTGGGAGCTCTTATCACTGATCTCATCTCCCCCTGCAAGGGATCTCTCAGCTTCCCCTTCAACGACCAAAAGGTAGTACCTAGAGACTTCAATTATATTCAATATCTTTAAAATATAAATACATAATTATTTTAAAAATATTTCAGTTTTACTGGGCTTCCTCGGCTCTCGGATGTCCTCTGAAATACTCTACCATCAAAAATACTCAATGGGTGAAATGGGTCTAGGTACTGATCGAAATTTCTCTGCCCTTAATTGTCAGAGAAAGCAAACAATTTATTTATTTTACTTCAATATATATTGAATTGAATATGGTCATCCATTCATTCTTGCTCATTATGATTTAGAATTCTAGACCCTCCCCTTGGCATGAATAACGAACTGTGCCGCAGACTAAATAGTTATACTCCAGCTACTAAGAATTTTCATTCATCTCAGAAAGATTGCAAAATAGTCTAATCAGTTAAAATTCCCGCGCCGCAGATTGGGCTACTTTCACGCAGAGGTACCAGTCTCATTAATTTTCATAATTTGTCTATTGATTAGTATGACAATGATGAAAGATTCTTTAATCCAATCTACCTTCGTAAAAAAATCACTGAGAACACATTCTTACAAAAAAAGTTCATACTTATATTTGTTGAAAAAATTAATAAGCTGCTTAATCATTATCTATTGCCAGTGAATATTTTTCTAAGTTGGTAATGGTATTCCACCAGCTGCTTTTACACTGTTTATATTTTTATTTTACTGAAAAACAAATGGCGAAAGACACCTACTCAAACTTCCTTTTTAGGAAAATGGGTGAGGTGCCAGTTTAGTTTCAAAGAAATAAGTGGGTTGATATCCTGAGCACACCTTCTAACACACCTGGATTCCAAGGTACACAAAATTTCCTTACTTTTTCTTTGTTAGGATTAGTAGAAAACTTATTTAACACCTCGATGCCGAGTCTGTTGATGTACAACATTTTCTTTGATAGTTTCAGTTTAGGATGTTACTTTTACCACCATCTTGATATAGCCTCTAACATCATCACTCTCCTATTTTCCTTTTCGTGTATCACCTCACCACGAACTGAAAAGAAAGGGATTAAACCTGATGATCAGTCAATATCCGTCAGCACAAATTTCAACTTCCTTCACGCTGGCAATTCATCCTTGTAGGCATGTATCATTTGGAAACTGCAACACATTCATTTGTTGGAGATATCTTAATATGCCCTGTGTATCTGAGGCACCGATCAGTTTGTAAAGGAGCTTATATTTTTTTGGTACTCGATACTTTAAGGCACTGAAAGCCACTATAGTTGCGCCTCAATCAAGGTCAGCTGGTAACTGATGCCGTACCTAAAAGAATCCCAATCAAGTAATCAGGTTAAATTGACAGAAGGTTCAAGTCCATCCAGCTGATCAGTAGACTGTCGATTCGACAGTGGACCTATCGGACAGGTTTGGTCTGTTGCCAGGCAATCTGATAGGTCAGTCGACAAAAAATTCAACTGGTTGATCAATGTGTCAAAGGTGGAAGCACCTTTTAAGCTTTGTGATAGTCAACATGGAAAAGTCACAGAATTCATCGGAAAAATTAAGAAAGGATCCCGCACACTTCTTCTGGGAAAGTGCACCACAATGGATCTTTAATTTTTTTATTGCAGTCGATTCTCCTCAAGATGCTGATCAAAAGTTATCATTGCGCCAACTTTCTACGATGCACTGTTTTCGCAAATGACGCCTGAGAAGATTCAATTATTCGGCGATAAGAGTTAGAAAGATTCCTCATTTCAGCACTCGAGTGAACGGTCGGTTGTGTGTCAAGAAGGAAATCAGGGGAACTCCAGCACCAAGCGGCAGTCTTATTTCGAATTCAGCACGCCGTTTTGCTCGACCATCCAAATCAGATTCTTGAGGAGCATAAGAACAGGAAAGTCGGAGAAAAACCGTGAGCGTCAACCGTACGAGAGGGAGAGGGAGATAGCCCCAGAGTCGGCAGGAACAGATAAGAAGACAAACATGCGCTACGTTTTTCCTTATTTACATCAGGCCTGTTATCGAATGCTTTGTTTTTTTTGATTCTTCATCGCCGAATAATTTAATTCTTTTCGGGCGTTTTGTGTGAAAATGGTGCATCGTAAAAAGTTGGCGCAATGATAACTTTTGAGCAGTATCTTGAAGAGAATCGATTACAATAAAAAAAATTCAAGATCCATCGTGGTGCACTTTCCCATAAGAGATGTGCGTGGTCCTTTTGCTACACTAGTATGTTTACTCAGCAATTTCAGCAGGCGCCTTTGGAGAAATCTCAAACAACGTCAGAGGGCCTTTTTCCTTAATTCGATTCCATAGAAGAGGAGATTTTGCCCATTGTCTAGTAAAAGTCAGTGTAAGTAATTAAGTTGAAAACCCAAATGGAGGTTTGATTGCAAGGTAGGGAAAGCCAGGAAAAAGTCAGGGAATTTCAAAAATTTTAGAGTCGGGGTAGGAAAAAGAAGAAATCATTGAAACGCGGTATTTAAGTGAATCTTATAGAATATTCTCTTTAAGAGTTCAGGAAAATCACACTGAATTTCATGTAATAACAGTGGTCAACCTCTAAAACGCAATGTAATTGGCCACCTTAATAGGTTTTTTAGTTTCACTATTGCTCTACCTCTAGAAGCACGAAAAGTAATGTTTGCATTTTTCTTTACCTGAGTCAATGCAGCAGTCATTTCTATATATTCTGAAATAGGTTCTGGTCCATTTTTGCAGATCTGGCCGTGATCTCTTGTTCATTTTAGAAGAAGTCGCAACGTTGGAATTCCCAATGCCTGGGTAAGTTGATCTTATTTTGATAATTACTCAATTTTCCCTGTATCCTGGGTCTGTGAGTATGACATCGTTTTCAGTCGTGTGAAGTTACGTCAGATGATTTTCCTCCTTTTCCCCATTCTGTTTATGTTCTTGTATCTGGTTCTGAAATATTATATAATCAGCGATGAAATACTTGATATAGCTACATTTTCAAGAGCCTCTAAACTTAACTATTCCATCCAGAATGCAAAAGTTAAGTAAATTAAGTAGCTCTTTTATTTTCATTACTAATGAAGGAAACACCAAAAATTTGTGGTTACACTCTGCTTCAATTGCTGCAGTCTGTAAAATTTCATTGATTTTCTATGTTAGCGTTCGGCAAAATGCGCTTAAAAAATGAAAAATCAGTTATTCTCGAGAATTCTCCAAAATATTTAGTACTACTTTGTATTGCAATCTGACTCATAGAATGATATTCTCAGCCCGGTTTCTAATGAAATAAACTCAAATCTAATTGATTCTCGCTAATTTGGGTATTTGCAAAATTTTTAAAAGGTTTGAAGCTGATTAGAGTTAAGTATACCAGAAATTGTCCAGGAAAAATTGCAATTTGGTCTGGAAAATCTAGACAGGTCAGGGAATTTTGTTCCAAAATTAGCTAGGAACCCTGATATCTAAGAGAAAAGATAGTTTGACAAGCAGTTGGAAGGAAGAAAGAAAAAATCAAAGGATTGATTAAAAGGACATCTGAACGCTGGGAATCAAGCAGGAGACTTCCCAGCAGGAATATCGCCCGAGCAACCAGAGTAATTTAGAGAAATTAGCTTTATTTTGTCACTTCCATAAGTGACCTCTTTGCAATTTGAGTCTTCCAAGGCCTATTCACACAAGAGGTAAAATAGAGGTTCAATGGTTTTGTATGAAGAAATTTCTGGTTTTGTTCTGATTAAAATTTAGGCAAGACACTATATATGACCTCTTGTGGTGGTTTTTGGTAAGAATGGTTTTGGAGTTACAAGGCGCTGTGCTGCAACCACGGTGTGGCAGGATCAAGTTAGTTATCTTAAATGAAGTGAGCCAAAACGTGTCCTTTTAAAGTGAAAGTTAGTGGTAGCGAGAAGTTTTTAAAGTAAAAATTTGCACTTAAAATAAAGTGAGTTCAGTTCCTAGTTGAAAGTGCGGTCATCTCCACAGAGCCATGCTATATCTCTAAGTAGATCAGAGCCAGGGGATCCACCACCCATTTACCCCCACTCAATTACATATGTAGATTTTACAAATTACCTGTGGTTGGCAGTGTGACTCGGAAATTTGCAACCATGGGAGCACAACCGTGGAAAGCTATAGTTTGGCTGCATCTACAGCAGGCGGTGATGAGACTCAACCATCTGTAGTCAGCTATTTATTAACTATTGAGAAGAAAAAAATGAAATTAGAACCTGCTCAGAGATGATATTTAGATTTTATTTGAGACTAACTGCTGGAAAGATGTTCCCTAGTGTTGTGAGCAATAGCTATGAAGACTTCAACATTTACGCAACATCAATTCTAAATAAATAAGATGAATAAGAAACCAAGGCAAAATTTTCAGATGGTCGGAAATTTGATCGTGCCTTCTGATCTCTTATTCTAAGCGCAGCTGTTTTATCTTTAAAGATCTACTTTTAATAGAAAATCAAATGAATAAATTTAAATTGGAATTTTTTTGCTACCATTCATATTCCAAATATTACCCAATTGGAATAATGTAAAAAAAGGGGGGGGGGGAATCTTCAATTAAACACCGATTGAATTTCTGCCCATTAAATCAATCATTTTTCAGTTCATCCATGAAACAGAATATGAATATTAGAAAGCCAATTGTCAAAGCTCGGTATTTATTTTTTCCATGTAACTTCCTTGTTTAGCAATATCATACATAGAATGTAATTACATTTGCCCGGCAGAAAGTTTAAACAGCATTATATAGTGGTGATGAATTGTGAATCATTGTAATTATTGTATGTTTTTAAATGAATTATAAAAAAGAAAGAAAAAAAAATATATTTGAAGATAAGAGTCAAGCCATAGTATGTTTGGTTTAATTAATATGAACTGCAGAATAATTAAATTTCACAATTAATAATTACTGGCTATTAAATGCAAATGCTGTATATTCCTTCAGTATATCACTACGTATATTTTTTCTTGAGTAATATGGCACCTGGCGGTTACTCCCGAAAAGGGTGAAAAATACTTTCACAGAATAGAAGAGAATCACAAGTCCACGGTTTACCACTGGAAATGCAAATGTTTAGGAATTCGAAGCCACAAGAGAGGAAAAATGATTATCATGCGAAATGAAAGACACTGTAATATGCTTGAGTAAACAATAATTGAGTGGTTTATGCTTTGATTCATTTATTGTGATGTCCATGAAGTGTGAGGATCTTGATTGTCTGAGCTGAGCATGTATGACATCACTCTTCACCTCTCCTTGCCGCCCCCCCCCCCCCCCCCCCCNTGGTTCCACTCAGGCTCTAGCTCACTCTACTCTTTGAGGTCTAATCTCACTCACTTGATTAGTATCTCATTATCTGTGGCATGTACCCTCATCATCGGATTTTATTGTGCTTCTTGTGCTCCCCTTCCTCTGACATAACCCAATCCTTTCTCATTTGTTTGCATTCTTTCTGCTCCGATAGAACGCCATTTAACTCCTGAGTAGGGTTTCTATGCGTAATTTTGGGAAAACTGGATTGGAAAACGTAAGGAATGAAATGAATTAGCTTCCTGATGAGGAAAAATTTTATATGACTCATCCATAAAAGCGCATATCTGCATATGGAAATTAATGGCTAATAATTCATTCCTAAAATAAGCCAGAAGTAGTAACTCCTTATTGCTGAATGTGGTTCAAATGAAAAGATAGAAAATTTGGGAGGAAAACAGGAGGAAAATATTTTTTACTCCTGGAAAGTGTTTTCAACCAAGAACAAAAATATTGTTTTTCCCCCTCAGAAAATACACTAAAGCTGAAGGATACGTGTGTACCAGTAATAATTCGAGAGCAAGATTTTATAAAGTATTAAAACAATTATAAAGCAAGTAGAAACTTTAAGACACCTTGTAAGAAGAGAAATTATAAATTACTGCAATTTAGTCACGAGTCTTTTGCTCACATCAGCAGTTTTTTATTACTTTTCTCTTCTTCTGGTCTTGTTCATTTCTAATTTCTTCAGCCTTTAATCAACCACTGAATTCAGATTAAAAGGCAACCATTTTAATATGGCTTTACATGAAATTGACCCATATTTTATGCAGCAATTAATATTAAATTAATAATTACCATATATAAGCAGTTTTTTATTACTTTTCTCTTCTTCTGGTCTTGTTCATTTCTAATTTCATCAGCCTTTAATCAACCACTGAATTCAGATTAAAAGGTAACCATTTTAATATGGCTTGACATGATATTGGCCCATATGGCAGACTCTGAGCAGGGGGAAAACATAATTTGTTGTTCATTGTTCGTACTAAGAGCAGAGGTTGGCATTTTAGGTACAAGTCTGTAGTCTTTAGTATGATTGGCCCATCAGGTTAATCAAAATTTGTAACAAATATTTTCAAATGACTTACTTTGATTGATCATCTAAAAATCCTTATAACACATCACACAATACTTCGCCTCATTTTCGCCCTACATCAACCTAGGTGCTGAAATGAAGTCAAACCATCAGTGATTAGGAATGGAACAGTCCTTGCCTCAGTGTTTACCTTGACTGGAAGTGCTGGAGCACCTGTTTATCTTCGTTTTTCTTAATGTCCCTTATCTCTATCTGAAGCACCGAGCCCTACTCTTTGCTGAACATCCTGTACGCTTAACTAATTGCTTGAGATACATTATGCATCATGTCTCTCTCTCATACTATGCTTTTTCATCTCTCTATGCCTTTCTCTTTTAGATCCTCTACCTTTTTTTTAAAAAAAGAAAAAAATTTTGTGTTAAGGAGAAAGAATTTTGTTATTTAAAGTCTTAACACCGGAGTGCAATAACTTAGTCTTAGGAGTGTTAGTGCAAGGAACCAGTTCAACTTTTCACAATTGGGTGATAAATCTAAACCACTTTCTTCACTTTGAATTAAGTAAAAAATGAATGAACGCAAACCAGATGATAGTCCATTACCGCCATCAGAACTATTATCCTTGGACCATAGTCAGCTTTACATGAGACGCAAACTGACAAGCTCAGATTCAAATTTAAGTGTTTATAATTTTGATCTCCTTTCCGATGAAAATCCTCATATTCCGGAAGATAATGCTCCTTTGCAGGGTTCATTTTCGTCTATTGTTGACACCTATAATAATTTGGAGTACACTCCTAACAGGTTTGTCCTGATTATTTTATTAATTTCTTTTTGGATGATGCTTTCTGAACGAGAAATTAAAATTTTTTCTCGTACTCCAATTGATTTTATTTTGTTTATCAGTAGAATTCATGCCACAAAAAATAGATATTTCAATTACATTTTGCTCTCTTCTTGAAAATTAAAAGGCAGATCAAAATATTTTCCCAGTTTTTTATGTCAAACAGTCTGTGTAACCAATAAGAAAACATGCTCATAGGCAAAGTTTCAGTTTAAAATTTTTAAGTTTCTTGATGCTTTGAAAAGTTCTTGAAATTACTTGAATTTTTTTTTTTTTTAATTTTAAGTCATTCTTAAATTCTGGGACGTACCGGAACGGAGATCTCCTCTTCTCTGCAGCGTGTGATTATTTTGTTTGGAGGATCCCTATTTTTCCCTCTCTGCAATAGAGACTTCTAAAGCAGCTAAAAGTATCATCCATACATCACACATTAGCCTCTTTACACATATTTAGTAACAGAAGACAGTAGCAAAGGAAAATACAAAATTATCTTTAAAGCATTATTATTTCAAGCTTTTAGAATTTATTTGTGTGGGTAATTTTTGAAAGTATCTAATCATGTTTCCAGCAGTCCATGATAAATCCTTGAAATTCCTTGATTCCCCTAATCAGAACTCAGATAAAGATGAATTAAAATGTTTGCTGAATCTTTGAAACAACTCTTTATTACTATTGAATATTTTTTCATCTGTTAACAGCATAACGGTTGATATGAGCCAAAAAACCTGTTCTCATTGCAAGGATGGGTTCTCCAATGAGAAAATTGTCAACACCAATGGTGAACTGTGGCATACGCAGTGTTTTGTGTAAGTAAACTTCTTGTTTCTCCCTCAAATGGAGAAGTGTAAAGAATGCCTAATTTCGCAACTCTAGGATCTGGGCAAACATGAGGCAGATCTTAGGCGTATGGCGGATTTTGGAGTGTAAGGCACAGAAATTGAAAGTGTTTTAAATGGTTTACGCATGTATTCCTCTATTCAAAGCGCTTTTAATCTTTGGCCTTGTGACGTTGTAAGGCATTTTTATAAAGTGATGACCATTTTTTTCTTTTCTCTTCCAATCAATTTTCAAAACGGGAAGTGAATTAAAAATTTTGCTAGGAGGTATAATTGCCTGATCGTCAAGAAGGCTCAGCATTTTGGAAAAGTTTAAGGCCCTACTCAAATGAATGGGTATTATTTTTTAATTTATTTGCTGGTGAAGAATCTAGATTATTTTAATGAGGTTGCCTCAATGATATCTTCTTTGAAAAAGTTTCCATAGAGGAACATCTATGTCTTTTCCAGTCTTGAAATTCTTGTAGTTGGATCTGTGAGTTGTTAAAAAAGATGATTCCATGCCCAATTCTTGATTGGAAAAATTCAGTGAAAGAACTCAATCAAAATGTTCAATTTTAGACGAATATAACTGTTCTGCTAAAATTACTGAAAAAATCATTGAAAAATGGCTTTAATTCCATTCTATTTCAATTAATCCTACTTTTGTTTTAGGTGTGCCCAATGTTTCCGACCGTTCCCTGAAGGCATCTACTACGAGTTCGAAGGTCGGAAGTACTGTGAACATGATTTCCAAGTTCTGTTCGCACCTTACTGTGGAAAATGCGGTAATGATCGATTCTTTTAAAATTAAAATGTGTTCCTCTCATCAGATAGATTTATTTCAATTCAATATAATCCAACACAATCGTCCCTTGTTACTTTTGGATTTGTTAATCCTGGGTCTTTGCTTTCACCAAGTTTGCAACTGCTATCTTCCCTCGCCATTTGCGAACCCCACTCTTGCTAATTTAGGGATTGTGAGGGCATTGAATATTTGAAAAAACCAATCACCTGGTTTTTTCTTCTATTTTTCGTTTAAATGATGATCATGTTCTAAATTGTTTTAAGTAATAAATGAAAACTCTCATGTAGATAGCCAACTTCCAGGTTTTGAAATTTTTGTTAATAAAATTTCTAGACAAAATTTCCCAAATTCAGCCTGAATTTCAAGAAAAGCCCAACTCAAATCTTTGCGTCTTATTTCGTTCTGCAGGGAGACCTATAGAGATGTTTGACATCTTTCAAAGGTGGATCGAATAATGATATATTTCATGCAGCAGTTGATTTCCTCCACTATCAGTACACTATTCACATTTTTCGTTCAGCGTATAGTTTTGATATATTTAGATTCATTATCAACAATGTTTTTGTGAAGCAAAACATTCTTGCGGAACCAAGTACGACTGTACAAGAATGTTGATACAGAGAGCTTGCAAAATGTCGACTTCAGTACATTTTAAAATTAATTCATACTATCGGTTAACTTTCATAAGTTTTATAGTCTCCATTTCATAGAAATACCAAGAAGTAAGTAAGAAATATATTTTCCAGTTTCCTTAGAATGATATACATATATTAAATCAAAGAAATATGTCGGTAAGTCACCAGTCATTTGTAGTATGCAGCCACCATTCTTTGTATTTTTTGTTAGGAAAAAAAGTGTCACACAGCTCATAAGATATTATTTATTTCTTACTTTGCTGCATTTCGTTTTGCTTGCAAAATCTTTTTTAAGAAAAATTGTAACCTACAAGTAATCAGTCTTTTTAGAGTGGAACATATAATTCACTATTATTTCTATAAAATTTTTCACTTCATTTACAGGCGAATTTGTTATTGGTCGTGTGATTAAAGCAATGAACGCAAACTGGCATCCTAAATGCTTCTGCTGTGAGATGTGCAACAAACAACTTGCTGATTACGGCTTTATTCGGAATCAGGGTCGTGCTTTGTGTCATGATTGCAACGCGCAAGTAAAAGCTGTTGGTCTTGGCAAGCATGTCTGCCACAAGTGCCAGTAAGTATCATTTATTTTCAAATTTTTGGTTTAGTAGTGTTCGCTACACTGCCACGCAGTAACCACTCTCAGATAATGGACAGCTCATAAGATATTATTTATTTCCTACTTTGCTTGATGTTAAATCCAGTCAAAATATCTTGAATTCCATACCATAAACATGGTCCTAAAATTGCCGCTGAGGGTTAGAAGGCTAGTTAAAATATTACATTCTGGCCTTAGATTACCACTTATTGATGTTGACGAAGATGTTTCTGCTAAAACTCTGCATAGTTATGAGGGTTATAATTGTATGAGTTGTATAGATTGCCTTTGCCTGATGTATCACAAATAGATCAATTCTCAATACATAGTCATTTTCTTCAGTGTCCAATATATTGTTATTTTGTCCTGGATACTTCAATCGTCTGTCTTTGATAAAGCTTGCTTACTTATTCAGCTTTTATTATTTTGTTTCAGTGGAGTTATTGATGAAAAACCGCTCCGTTTCCGGGGAGAAGTCTACCATGCTTACCATTTCAACTGCACTGCCTGTGGAACTGAGTTAAAATCAGACGCAAGAGAAGTCAAGAGTCGTCCAGGACTTTTGGCAAATGATGTTGTAAGTAGAGTTGATTGGGTACATCAGTGTTATTCTTTGTTTTTAAATGCATAAAATAATCACCAATTTCAATAATTTTCAGATGTGTAATTTCAGTGGTTTATCGCAGCGACCAGGACAAAGTCACATCAAAGCGTCTATCAGCTTTGATCGTACCTACTATATTAAAATTACCATTTTGAGAATATTTTTTTCTTCTCCCTTTTTTTAGGTATATATTTATAATCAAGTATGTTCTTGTACCTTTTCACTTTAAACTTATCATGCTCTCATGGGTGAATAATTTTTTCTTTACCCATGACGAACACCAGAACTTAAACTTTTGAACAGTGATTACATAATGTCCTAAAATGCAGGTATTGGCAGTCGTGGACTAAGATTAGCTTAAGTTGGAACTTTACTTTGACCCTCTCTAATTTTGTTTTTAAGGTATGTGTTGAGTCCATAGGGGCCTAATTTATGGAGCCTTAATTATAGCCTTTCTTAGGCTAATTTCTGAAAATTTTCTGTGTAATGCGCCACAAGTCCTAAACAATAATTTAGTGTTTCGACAACTTAGCACACAATTAAACCCAGTTGAAGGAGTCGGAGTGGCCTTTTCTTAACTCAGTGTTTTAAAGGTCTAATGATAGAAGCTTGGTTAGGATATTTCCAAAACCATTTATGAAAAATGAAGACTTGGTAAAAAGAAAAAGAAAAATCTATAATTCTATGTGTTCGTTCTCTTTTTTCATAATTTTTGAAAATTTATCTTTTGGTGTGTTTGTAGAATGAGCTCTACTGCTTGCGTTGCCATGACAAAATGGGAATACCAATTTGCGGTGCTTGCCGTCGTCCCATTGAGGAACGGGTCGTAACTGCCCTTGGCAAACATTGGCATGTAGAGGTAAATCAAGTTTCTGTCCAACATTCAAGTCATATTATTTTTTCGAGTTATTTATTCTGAGGGCAATTATTGTGTTAAAAGCATAAGAAAGAAGAAAGCCCTTTGCCTTCTTGGTCAGGCCTTCTTGGTGCAAGACTACTGCTATGTGTGTCTGGCCATTGTGCCACATGCTGTTATCATTAAGAAGAATTTGATTTTTTTGTTTGCCTTATCTTCCTGACTTGCGAGGAAACAAAAGATGTCCTCGATCATCAATCAGATGTTGCAATTCTTTTTTTGGATATCGGGTGTAAAAGTATAAAACAATTCACTGTTCTGCCCAAATTTTCTCAAGATTGGCACATAGATGGTATGGTATTAAAAGTCCATTTTGCTCAGAAGCCGTAAGGAACATCGTATAATATATATGGAAATACAGCGGCTGCCGAATTTTTTGGTAGTATGTGCCTAGTTCTATAAGTCATAATCCTCCCTTAAAAAAATGAATAAATAAATAGGTAAACAAGTTGGGACCGGAAAAGTAATGCAAATTTATTATTTCTTCGCCTTTGTTTTTAATTTAATTTAATTTCTGTAAATTTCAGCACTTTGTCTGTGCCAAGTGTGAGAAACCTTTCTTGGGGCATCGTCACTACGAAAAGAAGGGTCTTGCCTATTGTGAAACTCACTACCATCAGCTGTTTGGTAACTTGTGTTTTGTCTGCAATCAAGTCATTCAAGTCGATGGTAAGATACAGCATTCAATTTTTAAATCAATTAAAAGAAAGTGTAATCAAAATCTGTACTGGTTTTCTGACGCTCATTCATTCGCAAGAATAACAAGCGTTCTTTGAAAGCTAAAATTTTTGCATCTCTCAGATTTGTGTGCCTTTTTGCAGAAATGTTTCCTCTCGTATAAACTGTCTACAAAGGATTAATCTCATCAAAAATTTTACCAGAACAAAATATTTTACAATTTGAATTTTTGATACTCGACCGTATGGACATATGTACTCGATTCATTCTGTAGGGTAACATAACTCTCAATTTTTGTAGTCCCTATTACCCAGTCACATTTTTTTGCATACTCGTGCACTTCTTTCTCTGTTGTCAACAATCAAGTTAGCCCAGGAAGAGACGCACAAAAGCTTAACTATACGATTAGTCCTTGTACAATTAACAGTGTTGGCTGTAACTTTTGGGGAGCGGGGGAAGAACTTAAGAAAACAAGACAAGTTGAGGGGGTATCCCCCAGCCAAGGAAGGTTTGGGGAGCGCAAACTCTAGGAGGGCCCCACCACACCATACATGCGCCGCCTCTGACAATTACATTAGATTTGCCTACATCTTTCTCCAGGAAATTCTGGTCACAGGTAACAAAGAAAAAGTGCCCGTGAATGTGAGAATTTTTAAAATGCGTGATACAGATCACAGAAATCGTGAGTTGTGGAATGGATTTTAAACTTTTTTCCTGTGTTCATTGTGATTTTTGGGGGCTTCATCTTTTAAAAGTCTATTAATCTACAACTCAGGTGTGTCACAGACGCATTATTTTCCTGAACAGTACGATCAAAGTAAACTCAGAACAATTCATTTGCTGAGTAGAGAATTATTTCTTTTCCTCAGGTCTGCCCATATTTTTTGCCCAGAACTTTGGGTGGGCTTTCAGCTTTATAATCCGGTTTGTCACACTGGTAAACAGTGCTAACCTTTCTTTTGTGTTTGTCTCTCTTGTTTCAGTCTTCACTGCCTTGAACAAAGCTTGGTGCGTTCACCACTTCGCCTGTTCAATCTGTGACCAGAAACTGAACCAGAAAACCAAATTCTACGAGTGCGATGAGAAGCCTGTTTGTAAGAAGTGTAACGACAAGTTTCCTGCGGAATTCAAGCGGCGTCTGCGCAAAGCCCACCAATACACACCACAGAGAGCCCCTGTCTAAATATTGTAGCGACAAGACCAACCATCATCAATAATTCAGGAGATTACAAGTAACACATTAAGACCTTGTTTAGATATAGATATCTATAAAGAAGAAAAAAAAGATTAGATCTGAGTTGCATAAGAAAATGTATTTATTTCTTTACCTGTGCAGATAAGCTTGTCACAGTTATAACTATGCCACCAAAAAAGTATATTTTAAAATATTTGAATCATCGTAGCATCGGTATGTGTTCAGGTGGCTTTTAAATAAGTCAATTCCAATGTGCATATGAATTCCAACTTTTCCAACATTTCCTGCTAGAAATTTTTAATTTATAAAAATGCTATTCAGTCACTTATTGATACCGAAAGTGCAAAAACAATTCCGCTGTTTCAAAATTTCCACTCATATTTTTTGAAAAGTGAAAGCCAACGTTATGGCTTGAAATTTATCCAGAACATTGTGCTGTTAGTGAAATAAAATAAGGAAAGTTTCAAGAAAGTATGTTGACTGGTTTCTGAAGAAAAAATAAAATGTGGAACCGTAAACGAAAATACATGTTTTTGCACTTTGGCCATTGATATCATTCCCATATAAAAGCTTCATATTTTTAATGTTCCTTTCCAAAGACTCAAAAGGAATTTTTTTAACAAACTACAAATGCACAATCTCTTTAATTCCTACAGATTTATGAAATGTATTGACTGGCATTACACCTTTTTATTTTCTGATGGACACTGACAGGAATTCAATGTGTGTTTCCTTTTTAAATGCTAAAAAATAATCAAGTTACTAGTGCTAGATGTTTTAGGTTATATTGTGTGTCGAAAGTCTAGAATTATGTTCATTATTTATTGTTCAAGATGTTAAGCTCAGGGGTGCAAAAGCTTCCTGACGATATCATGACCTTCGACGGAATTTTTGAAGCGCCATGCGACGTTTCAAAAATTCCGCCGCCGTTTAATTTTTTTACAGAGAAATTGTTCAACGAAGCTGTCCGAAAATTTCACTGAATTTTCTTTGCGATGCCGATAAAATTCAGTGAAATTTTCAAACAGATTCAACCAACAATTTCTCTGTAATAAAATAAAATGGCGGCGGAAATTTTGAAGCGTCGCATGGCGCTTGTGATACTTTGGCTGGAAGGTGACGATATGATCGGCCTGGTCCCCTTGGAGGGGGCAAGAATGAGGAAAACAGAAGGAGTCCGTATGAAATAGAAACAAAACATGGGAACCGAATGGGTACCCAATGCAACATATTAGCAGTGAAAAATTCTGATTTTTTGGGTAAAAGACGTATTACTTTTATTCGTTTAGTCTTCCGGGAAAAGCAGTTATGGAATTTTAATCTAAATGGAGGAAGGTTAATTGAATTTGAGGGATGGCTTGGAACTTTCTGTACCCCTGGTGAGCTTTCTTTCTCAATGCTTTAGGAAGTCATAATTTAAGCCTTCATATCCAAGATCATTACTTCTCTAACTTCTCAAAAATGATCCTTGCACTCGAAGTTCATAATCATAGAGAAAATACAGAAGGTGGTGGCAAGGCAGCCATCTTGAAGATTTGCTGTGACGTAGAAAAGAACACGGACTGGCAAGCTGTTCAAGAAAAAGTACATTTCATACATTTCATGATAGAACCTGTATATTTTCAGTTACAGTCGAACATTGATAGAAAAACATATTGAAACATAAAGAGTCATAGTTACGAGTTTTTAGAGCTATAATAAGTTGGAACCTCACAACCTTTCCCGCTCCCTTTTAAATTTCAAAGAGGTCTCGATTTTCCGGTGATCCTCTTGAACAATCAGAATGGCGACTTCATTTTTAGCTGCCACGTAGAAAAGTACATTTCTCCGCTTGCCACCACCTTCTGTATTTTCTCTATGGTTCATAATAAGGTAGATGCAGGTCCTGCATTATGAGGCAGGAAATGGGACCAATTTTGTAACCAGAAAATTATATTCATTGCAATTTTGCTATCTATTATGTTTTGCCAGTAGTTCTCAAGTGCTTTCAAATATTGGTACTGCATGCCAAAGGCTCTAAAAAGAAAAAAAAATTAAGTTAAGGCACATAATTAAAGCACTTTCAATGAAAGATTACTAATAGTCCTCAGGACACTTCCTTCTTCGGCTGTTGGTTTCAGCCACGCAAGTGAAGAAAATTGCTGCAGAAATGCAAGTTTATATTAATTAATGTATATTATGTAATTAAAGTGAGCCTGAGTTCATTGTCAGTAATGCCTGATCTTTCAGGCATTATATTCTTCAGAACTTTTCTACCGGAATCAGTTTGGTAGAAACTGACTATGAACAGCTGTTTTTCCTTTGTTTTTTAACGATACCCAAATTAACAACAATTTACTTTCAAGTGAAGTTTTGTGACTTGCCTACCATTTTTTTCTTTTATTTTCATTCAGGGGAAGCTTAGCTCTTTAATGTTTGATCATAGCCATTTTATATCATCGCACTTATCAAATTTAGCATATTTAATGGAGGCTCCTAAGTTCTTCTCCAACTTATCAAAACATATTACTCATAATTAATGACCTTATATTGGTGCAGGAGTGCTAAAAAAATCATACCACCTAGTAAAATAAAAAATGCATGATCCCAGAGAATCTATAATTTCCCTCCAAGTTGAATTTTATTTCTTTAATTTAATTTGTATACTGCCCAGAATATTTGGGATGTAAAATTTCGTTTTTAGCACCTTAATTTAAGAGACCCCTAATATTAGCCTTAAGTACGTTTAACTTAAGGGAAAAACTAATTTTTTAGGTATGCTCTAGTACTTATAAAGCATAGAGTACATAGAGTAGTAATGTAAATGGGAGAGCTGGTGCCATGTTCTGCTTAACGAGTTCCGAGCTCGGGTCACTTTTTCGATACATATTCGACCCAAAATGGCAGAGTGGAATACGCGGTAATTCCTATCTCCTTTGTCTACATTGGATGCCCGGGTACCACTTTATCGCAAACAATTGATCATGTATCGAAAAAGTGACCCAGCATCACACAGGAGTCTCGGTATTCGGGACCTGGAAAATGCTTAAAAGTGGCGCCAGCTCCTTCACTTACATTACGACTCTATGTACTCTATGTTATGAAGTTCAAATCGAGAGATGCCTATTCAATGTAGCATCTCTAATTTTGAAGATCCATTTTGAACGAAATGGATATTTTAAGAGAGTACATTTGCTAGTCATGCAAATTCATAGTACATGCTGTTTTGGCTATCTTTTTATTTCTGTAATGTGCTCTTTACACACCCTGTTTTATCAATTATCAAAGCATTTAAATGCATGAATTTGTTTTAATATTTTAATTGCCTGCTTATTTTACACTGTTCATCCAATCGACTTTATTGAATAGATCTATACTTTCATGTACAATGACTAGTCAATCGTAATATCAAAAAGTTCACAATAATTTTCAGTCTTTGTAAGGTGCCTTATGTTGATTCATCATATCTGGTGCCTTTTTCCTTTTATTTTTCAGCTAATGCTGTTTTTTAGATGTCAATTGATCAGTACCTATGCTGAAAGTACCTGCTTTTGTTTTGAGAAAGATAGTATGCTTTCAGTAGCTGCGTAATTCAGTCTTTGTCATAAATTATTTATTGTTTATTTATACTCTAATAAATCTGTAATTTTACTAATAGAAGTACTCGGTGGGTTCTCATTTCACTAAATGAAATTTTCCTCTTTTTCTCAGCCTTGTGCTCCCTTTTCTAGAAGTAATTTTGACCTTTTTGTGAGATCTCTTTGCCTCTGTTGACCTGAGCCACGCGATTGTGGCCGGCTATTTTCTCTTGAGCAACTGAGAGGAGGGAGAATAAAATTTATTTCTGCAAATATTTTCAACATCTTTTTCAGACGAGGGAATAAAACTTTTTAGGATACATGGAAAAAAAAATTAGAACTTAATTTTCTCACAAATGCTGTATTTAGACAAATCATATTACAAAACATGCAAAAAAAAACAACGGAAGACATAAAAAGGCTGGTATCTGCTGAACAAAGTAATGTCAAACCATTAGTTGATACTCAGAAAAACTATACAATTCCTTGAATGTAAAATTCTGAGGATAAAAAATTTGGAATAAAATGAGGAGTGGTGAATTTCGAATTGAAGTCGTCACTGACTTACAGTCACGCGAAACCACTGACTCAATCCTCAAAACAGCTTCTGAGAACTGTTATTGTTGGTAAAAAAATGTTTTATTGCTAAGAATCACACTAAAAAATGGTATTCGTAAGTTCTTTAAACGCCTCGAGAATATTTTTCTACTCAAAAGCATTCATTTGTATCAAAATACAAAAAGCAAACCTTATCCTTGATTTTACAGGATAAATTTGTAACAACAAAGCTCTAAGTCCATTTACTGCTTCCTTGAACCTTTTAAAATTTGAATCAAGATTCTTTTACGTAAATCGGGGTATGGTTCTAGTAAGACAAATAAACGATTGTGACTGAATTCCTGTATTATTCCTAACTGTATTTGGTGCTCTGGTATATTTTTACTGAACATAGATTTAATTCTGGTCATGTGATTTCTGCAAGGAAAAAAAGGTTTCAAGGTTGCTTTCTCTCTAAAGCATAGCCAAAAAACATTTTAAATACATCTAACAGACTTAATTTTGTCTCATTGCAATGATATTCGAAAAATGTTAACATTTTCCCACTCTTACCATGGGAACTTTCCCCAGTGCCTGTATATCATATTCTTACCCATTATTGAATTATTCATGATGTCAGCTATTCATTTCTTAAAATAATTCACACAGCAACAGATCACTCTCATAGAAAAAACATAGAATCTTTTCAGTTTCCCTTTGACAACTAACTAAACTAGATTCATCACAGCTGAAATAGCACCAGTCTTTAGAAAAACCGATATGCCAACTCCTAGAATTTTAGTCGACAGTTAAAAATTTTATACATATTCTTCATAAATGTTGACAGAGCAAATAATAATCAAATTAACAGCCTGTTCTACAAAATCCCTTGACTCAATGAAAAGACAAAAGATATTCCCCTCTTTTCTTGACCTTCAGCTTTTCATAATGCTTCATCAAAGTTTAGAAGCAGGTCTCATCGGAATTTAAATTATCAAAAACGACAGAACTTAAAAAATTATTGACAATAAGAGACTTATAGCAGAAAAGCAGAAAGTTCTCAGCCTTCCAATTTTTCCAAACGGCTTTCCTATTTTAAAAACCCCTCTTTACCCAAAACTTTCCTAGCTCTGATCTTCTTTTGTCTGCCATGTAGATATTTCTGCAATTTTGCAAAAAACACGCAAATATGAACACGATTCTGGCCTTCCAAATTTTCTCAGCTTTCTCATTTTTTACGCGAGCAGCAATAAGGTCATGATCGCGTGATCAGAAAATTTCTGCACTTGCGGACACACAGACTTGCACTTGACTTGCAGTTTTGTCCAATTTCTGAGCAAAATTGACGTTAAATTGGATATGTGATGTACTTAAATGCCAAATGGTGACCAAGACTGAATCATAGAAAATTTGTCTCAAAATTAAAGTTGCTGCACATTTTAGGGTAAAATTTTCTTCCGGCTTTTACAACTGGTGGCAATTTTGCTAATTGGCAACAATGTAATTCCTCCATTTTCATAACTTATAAATGATTGATTCTACATAAAGCAGCCTGTCATGATAAATATTGATTGTTTTACACACACACAAATGGACAAAACCCAATGTGGCCAACTTGCACTGATCATCACTGTTACAAACCTTCTACACACTATGAATACCTGGAAAGTTTGGACTTTAAGAACAAAAAAAATGATATCTAATAAACCTGAACTCATTTTGTGTTTTTAACACAAAATACTTAGTGAGGCATTTAAAACGGAATAATATCACAGTTTCACAGTGGGCATCAGTAAAATGAACAAACACTCGAATAAAATTCTGTTTGTAGACTGCACTCCAGTAAACATCTGAATAAGGTTTGTAAACTAGCCAACATTATGATCCTGCAGTTTCCAGTAAGGCACTATTGTCCAAAATCTTGTGATTGGTCAAAGCACTTGCACTTTCCCAGTGCAGTGATGACAGTTGGGATTGTGGATGGTGGCATTTAATGCTACTGCTGCCCCGATCACAGCACTACATGCATCATCAGTCCGCTTCAACAGCTCCAGAGGCATTGACAGTGCCTAGACAAGGAAAAAGAGATTTTAACAGGGTGTCCGAGAAACAATCAGGGGAGTCACAGAAAGAGGTACTAAGGGAGGAATCAGGAGATTCTGAGAAAAGTCTGGTTTTTTTACACAAACCTTAAAGTAAGCTGAGTTTTTTATTTCCGTTCTCACACCTCGACAGTGATGCTGCCTAACCACAAATCTGCGTTTGCTGCATTGCAGACTTCCTGTTTTATTTCATTTTTTATGCGTATGGAAAACTGCTCAACAACAATATTGTAAATTTTCCATGATTTTTTTTCTGTGTACAGGAAAAATTCTATGACAATTCAAGGGATGTTGATTTGTTCTCCTTCAAAAAATATAATTGGAGCTGAGATTTTAAAACGCTGCAAACAAGATGCGTGTTTTAAAGTTACACCGACCACATTTAATTATATCAACAAATTTTATTTCAAAAATAGGTGCTTTACCTACCTGATTTGACAATTGCTCAGCAGAGGTCTCGGAATTTAAAGTGCTCAAATTTGCAGCCTCATATTTACTTGCATCAGCACCCAATAGTTGAACCTTCAAATTCTCACTGATTCTATAGTTTGACGAAGCCAAATCAAGTATATTGCTTGTTTTAGGCACACAATCTCCTCTACTGTTTGGCGAGTTCACCAAAGCTGCTAAATCATAATTTGTTTGGAGCACATGAAGGTTTCTGGAACAGAGAGTTAATGATTAATTATTCATAAAGGTGACATTTCATACGACAGATATTGCAGTTGCGATAAATATAAAGGTCTAGCAAAACTAATCAAGTTGCATTGGAGTAATTCTTTCAAGTAAGCACACACATTGCAAGATTGTGCACACTATTGCATTGTTCTTGGAGAGCAAATTGAAAATCATGGCTGCAATTATTTTCAATGAATGCTCTTCATAATTTTGTTATCAAAAAAGTATAAATGCATCTGTATTTGAGTGTGCACTGTGTGTTCTAAATTTTAAATTGCTAACAATAAAGATACTTCCAAGGATCTAATGTAAATGGACGTAGGCAATGAATCACTGATGGACCCCAAAATTTTTATGAACGTGTTATTAATGCAATCAGCAGTGAGAATGGACGATCTTTGTGTGGCTTTGACCTACTTTTCTTCTCAACCATGGTACATATTACGATTTCCACCTGAGCTCAACTTAAAATTGCTCTAGAAGTGTGCAACCTTTTCGAATTTCTAAGCATTTTTGAGATGACTTTTCAAAGGAAGAGAAATACAAATTTTTTGTGTGACAAGACATTTACTTGAATGTCTGCAGCAATGATTCGCGAACACAGTTCCTTTCACAGCGTAACTGACGTATGATCTCTTCATAGGTGGCAACTTTCTGATTGAGAGATGCTTTCCACTTTGCTAGCTCTTCAACCATCAAACTAGAACACAAAAAAATGAATTATCTTGTTATTTTGAAAATGAACATTTACACTACAGTTACAGAAACTCTAGATCAAAACAAAATTATCAGAGTTAGTAATTCAAGAAAATGGGATAAAGACCCATTAGGAAAATTTAGTATTGCATCATGTGTGACTATTCATGAGGAAAGAGACCTTTCTCCAAAGAGGCGAACATTTTCAGTGAACCGGTTTTAGTCAAGCTGGGTCGAAAAACCAGATTTTGAGATCTCAACAGGAAACTCTTTCTTTCATCCTTCAGAAAAGACAGAGAGAATTTTACGTAGCTCCTTTTGGGTGATATAAGTGCATAAAGTGGCATTATAGTCTGGCAGTTCTGTATCCTGATTCCTGAGTATGGTTGATTTTGTGGTGTCAAATAGCTGTTTCTCTAAATTTCGTTTTTAGGAAAGTGAACTTCAAACTGCCATAACTCCTTTTTGGTTGGACATTTCTGAATGCTTTATGTTCCAAAGGGTTCGTTGGATAGGTTATCCTTAGTGCTCCAATGTTAATGACTCAATTTTAAGTTTTTGTAGATTAAGGTCCTCTTCCCGTGGCACATAATGATATTATGACCTTAATTTACATGCGGGCAGGGAAAATTGGCCTTTACCAGGTCTAAGTCCAGTTATGGGGCCTTTTAACTTTCTATGAAAACCAATTAAAACTAATGTTTCAATGAGTAGGTGCCAATGCTCTTACGATTTTTGAATTTTATATCAGTGCCTTACAATTTCATTGACAGCACCTCTAAATGTGCTTCTTTTTCAAAATACCAATCACAGAATAGAAGATGACATTTTCAAAAAGAGTGAGCTTTTGTCACTGAGCTTAAAATTTTTTAACAGTTTGAGGAAGGTTTAAATGTCCATCAATTCAAGGATAATAAAGGGTACTGAAAAGTTTACCTGCTTGCCAAAAATTTGCTGCGCCAAACTTCACACTGTCCAGCCAACCACTCTATCTGCTCCTGATGAGTGGACAGGGATTGTGCAGATGAGAGTAGAGCTCGTGCTAATTGTAGTTTATCTTCTGTCAGAAGGTGCACTCTAGTTTCTATGTCCTCTCCAACAGCAGCGACTAAGAGTTTTTTCAACTCACCATTGACCTGAGTCTGAAAAGTTACTTGGTTTTCAAGAGTGGTATTTTCTTCCTTCAGTCTCTTCATTTCCTGTTCCATTTGCTGAAACAGTGCCGGAGAGGAAACCATCAGAAATTACCATTAATGCAGAGTCCCAGCATACAGATTCAAACCTGACTCAAATAAAAATTAATTAGGTTACTTGAAATTTAGATACTCAATTACAATAAAAAATGTTATCCGTTACAGTCATCTCTCAATAATCCAAAATTCAAGAGACAAGGAGGTTTGATTGATCTACCGAGATCTGGAAGTTAGGAAAGTTTGAATTAAAGGGAGTTCATAAGGAAAAATTACTTTTTAATCAAGAAGGGATAGTCTGAATGGGGGAAAAAATATTTAGACAATTCAAAATAACTTCGACCAGTTTTACCTTGAGTTCAAAGGTAATTTCCAATTAATGAACAAAGAATTAACAAAACCACACCATAGAGGAAGTTACTTCTTGATCCACTGAAGTACATTGTCGATTCGATCATAGGCTTGATTATGCATTTCTTACAAACAGATTGCAATCCGCTGCTCAACGCATGTTTTGTTTAGAGAAAGTGTCAGTGATTTTACCAGTATAGATTAAATTGCAGTATAACATTTTCATTTCAAAAAGAAAAAGCTCAAAACAGAGCACAACTTTTCTCTTGAGAGAGTTATACAGGCTGGTGTCACACAAATTCTGGCCAATCAGGAAGGCAACTGCGGACTCATTTTAGGTCTAGTTGGACCCATCATCAGTACAACGCAGCCTCCTGATTTTTTGCTCCCAAGCTCTGAGAGGTGGCGGAAACCAGTCCGAGGTTTGAGCGAGTGAACTTGCACTATCTAGTATGCATACTATTCAAACAACAGCTAAGGCCCGGACCAGGCAGTTTTACGACCAGATTGTAGTTCACAGCTCATCACACTTGTCATCCGGAGAGAATATTGGTGTTTCTACTAACATAGGGTAAATGTCAATTTAAAACTTTCTTATTTAGGAGAAAAATAGCTCAGAATTGAGCCCAAATTTTTTCTCCCAAGGAACCGTAACAAGTGTGGCACCAAAAAGCAAAACTCACTTGAGAGAGAAGAGCAAGGAGGTAAAATAGTGCTGAGTCCACACTATTCTACAGGGAAAAAAAGGCCAAATACTTCCAAAAATTTGAACCCTAAAAAATTTGTGAAACTTTTTAGCCTTGTTTTCCATGCAGAATGATGTGAACCCAGCAGTATTCTACCACCTCATTACATATGTACAGTCCCGACCACAATTCTAGTGTTTTATCTCTCTGTTTTGAGCTTCTTTTCTCTGAAGAGAAAAAATTAATTTATATTAAAATTTAATGTACGCAGGCAGAATTGCCTACACTCTCTCTGTTGCTTTTCTTAGTTCAGTGAACCTACATAAATGTACCTCTTGAACAATTGGATTGCATACCTTCTTTTCCTCCGTCCAGTCCTCACATTCAGTTTTGTTTTCCACACTGACAGCTGCCTTTTCCTCAACTTTGTTGACTTTCATTTTATTGAACTCATCGTTCAATTTTTCTGTTTCTTCATTTGATTTCCTGGAGGCATGAACTCTGATTAAATTTTTCCTCCTATGCTTATCCTTTTCAAATGGTATGATTGGCTTGACAGCAGCTTTGTAAGGCTCATAAGGAACAAACTTTGGCTCCTTCCCAATATTCAGGCTTGTTTTTCCTTTTCCAACTTTAGAGATACTTCTAGTGATGGCTTGTGGAGTTAGATTCACAATATTACTTGGAAAATTGGCATTGTTTTTAAAGCTATGTTGATTTAAATCTACTGGATGGTATATGTACTGGTCACGTAAATGTTTTTGCTCTCCCTCAACTTTCTCAATAGCATCCGTGGTACTCGTGGTTCCAGTATTTTCCATTCCATCACCCTCAGTCCTGGTTGGAGATTTTACTTGATAGACCTCGGAATATTTACGACCTGGAACATAAAATAGAGGATTCATAAGAAGTATGAACTGAATGAATGCATGTATAAAACGGATTTATTCTTGGAATACAGGATCACATAATTTGTCAGACGATCCTACAGTTCTACTTGACAGAGTATCCATGTAACTGTGGATGAACGGATGCACAATGCAAAAAAGATAACGACGGCGTAAGTCCGCAATCACATAACTCGTTTGCAAAGTCTGAAAATCTCTGCCTCTATGTTATTTTCTTAAAGGAGAACAAATTGACATCATTCCTTGAAGTTTATGCAGAATTTTCTTTGCACAGAGAAGAAAAATCACGGCAGTTTTAAATAATTGCTGTTGAGTAGTTTTCCATTTAAAAAAAGAAAGTATGTCAGGAAGTCTACAATCGCAAATCGAGTTATGCGATTGCCGACTTACACCGCCAATTTACAATATGGACATCCTTAGAGCAGGAATAGTTACATCAAGGTGCTGACTTCAACGCGTCTTTCTGTTCATCGAAAAAGACAACCTTAGTTGGTGTAAAGTAAATCAAAATGCCTTCAACTTTTTGCATATGCAATACAGACATCCATCAAACACGCATAGTTGTATCCAGGCGCTGGCATCAGCGTGTCTGCGTGTCTTCAGACAAATACTGCTGCAGTCCGTGTAAAGTAAGTCAAGATGCCTTCAGCATTTTGCATTTTGACGGCGTAAGTCCGCAGCCACAAACTTCGTTTGCCGTGTCTGAAAATCTCTGCCTCTACGTTATTTTTTAAAGGAGAAAAAATTGACATGATTCCTTGAAGTTTTTGCAGAATTTTCTTCACACAGAGAAGAAAAATCACGGCAGTTTTAAAGAATTGCCGTTGAGTAGTTTTCCGTTTAGAAAATAAAGTATGACGAGAAGTCTGTGACGTCGCAAACCAGGTTCTGTGATTGCCAACTTACACCGTCGACATAGAACATAATGGGTGAAGGTAGGAGGGTTAAAAACGAGCTACTTTTAGAGTGTTTCAAAATTGTAATGGCACATAAAATTCGGTTGAGAACTTACTCATGATGGATGTGCAAGTTGACGGGAGACTGAGTAAAGATTTGATTTAACAACAAATTTGAGGAACGCTTGGTGATGTTGACAATTATTATTACAGCAAAAAAGAACCAATAGCACTATTTGGATCATGAATGGAATCTATTGAATTAGGAATTGCCCAATACATTGCCCTAAATTAAACCACTTCGCCTGCCCAAAACATGTCAAAAACAGCTGTTATCGCTTATCAGCGTGGACCAAAAGTTTACCAACAGTTGCCAACTGACAAGACCAAAGTTCGAAAATGCACTAAAACTCTCTCATGATTTATAAATTTGTTGAGTCTTAAGTTAACTTTTACTGAATTAAAACTGAGATTAAGGGCATAGCGCATACACCCTAGAACATTTTCCGCTTCGAAAAAAGCCTTTGCAAAAGAAACCGGTTTACTTTATGTGCTTTTTCCTGGGAATTTTATGTCCATGCGGCAACATGGCTGGGTTTTTTATTTTCGATGACGTCTTCCTCGAATTTTCTGATTGTCTCTTGGTGTGAGTGCGCTGTCCTGTCTGTTGCTTTTGTATTTGTAGTTGCTCGTCGCTTGAGCTTCGCTGCGGCTCGTGCGTGATGTGACGATTCTTTGTTTAGTGTTTTTGTTTATTTGTGCTTTCTGAATCCTCCGTGGGAAAAGTTCGACTTCAGTGTGTGATTTATTAGCATGTAGTGTAGTGTTTAAGAGGCGACATGTTTCGTTGTATTCCCATTTTTATTAAGGGATGCAATCGGCAAGTGGAATATGTCGACAAACGACACTGTTCTCTTACCACCGTGCCTGAGGACATTTTGCGTTATTCCAGGAGTTTGGAGGAGTTGTTCCTCGATTCCAATCAAATCTACGAAATCAATGAGGTAAATTCCGCAGTTTCTTCCCAGTATTCTATCTTTAATCGCCTGGGATGCCTTTGAATTCGGCGAGTCTCCCATGGCTTCTGTACCTACCTGCATATTCCTCTGAAGGCATTGTTTAGCCAATGGTGATCTTAACCTACGAAAATGCGTGTGCTGAGCCCTATTCCTAGTACATAACGCTGTTTTCGTCCATTATTTAAGTTTTGCTGTTGCATTTGAAATCTTGCACAAGTAGTTACCTCGCAATACTGAAAACCCAAGCCTCTCTGATATAGGCACTTGGCTGTCCAGTTTGCATACGTTACTTAATGCCTTTAGTACTTGAGTATTCATTTTGTATAGGCTAGTATGGGACAAAACAGCTTCTGTTTACACTTTATAGAATGGTCACAGATCCGAAGGTGGTTATTATGAGAGCCTTGATATGGCGACAAAAAACACTTGGTTCAATAGAAGAAGAGAGCAATGTTCGCATCTTGTCTAGATTTTAGCTAAATGGAATCAACCATGATTCTGTTATGATGTTGGTAAGTGCATTGAGAACCACTTCAGTGAGGCTCTAGACTGCCTGTTGGAGGTTTTCATCAGTCGTTATTACATTCTGTCCATCTCTATCTAGTCAAAGGATACGAGAGGAGCCCTGGAGTGGTTACTGTCATGATAAAGTATTGCTTCAATGTGCTGAATTGAGCCATCTTATTTTTGGTTTATTTTTTCCTCTTTACTAGCCACTAATAGTAGATTCATGGCGGTCCGAGGAATAGCATTCAGCTGCTGGCTAGTTATCCCTTGCCTATTCTAATTGAGCTTTTTGTAGCAGTAAAAGAATACCAGAAACTATCAGTTTCATAGCTTTAAGATAGTGTCCCACAATCAAATGAACTCATCAAATGCAAGATGGCAGAGATGCGTACTGGTTCATGCGTAAGTCCGCTATCAAAAGTTGGCGGGCCGTCAAATGTTGATGAACCCGCCATCTTGCATTTGATGAGTTCACTTGATTGTAGGACTCGGGCTTGCAGAAATAAAATCCCAGATATGGGGTAAGAGGGGAAGAGGCAAATGTCATATCAGAGATTGGCACCATCAACCCACATTTATGTGGTAAAGGTTGATTTGTCGTTCGTCTCTTCTTCTTTTTCTCTAGTTCTGATTGACTCGCTATTTTCCCCCCTTCATTGTGGAGGAAAACTGGTGGATCTAGAGCATAAAAAGACTAAGCAAACCTCACTTTAGCCGGAAATACATCAATCAGCAGGTGGCCTACTGGTTTTCCACATAAATCTCTGTTGAATGGTGCTGCTTTCCGGCATCAGACTGGCCCAATCTTTACTTCCCCAGTTCTATTTATATTTGCAGTGTTAAAAAATGTAATTCCAACATCAAGGTAGCTGTTAAACCTAACAGTGCGTATTAAGTTCAGTAGCCAGTGATCGCTTTTAGTTTTAAAATCCTCTCTAGGATTTGACTCCAGTTATCCCTTGTGTTCCAAGTTAATTAACGAGACGTTTCTTGTCCACAGCACTTCTACCGATTGCATAAACTGCGGAAGCTTGGACTGAGTGATAATGAAATCCACAGTCTATCACCAAGCATCCAGAACTTCAAAAATCTTGTGGAGTTGGATGTTTCCAGAAACAGTGAGTAACTTTTAGTATGCCTAAAATTTTCCCTAACTCTCCGAATTATGTGGCTAGATTTCTTGCACCATGGTTGTGTTTTACTGGTGTTTTCACTTTTTAAAGTGTATTCCTTTCCTGAATTTTGAAGTATCGATTGTCAAATGTTCAGGAATGCTCCGTTTTTAGTAATGTCTATGTGTGGCTCTAAGCTTAAGTTTTTGAAGGACCTCATGATGGTAACATGACATTAAGTTTGTTTGTCAGTTTTTTTGTGTAAAATTAGTCATTACAAGATTTATTCTGTTCTGACCCTAGTCATTCAGCAAGAAAAAAATGGTTTTTCCATTATCTAAATTTTACCGAACACTCCAACCTAACCCAGGTAGTTTTTGTCCGTTAAAACTGCCTATGCCTCAAAATAGGACCTTTTTGAACTGATAGACTTTTCTCAGAAGAATATTTCTGCAATCAAGGGATGTGCTCTAATGTTAATTTCTCCAGGTCAGTGAAGGTTTTGCCAATTTCTGGAGAAAGTCTGATAATTCAAGGAAATATGTTGAGGGAAACCTGGAAAAGTCAGGGAATTTTGAACCATTTTGTCAGAGAACACATAGCAAAGTCGGGAAGTTATTTTAATTCTTTTTAAGGTTTTGTGAACTAAAAGGAATTTGCCTGGGGAAAAGCTGCAAAATTCAAAGAGTCTTCATCATCCAAACTAGAGAAAACTTGAGTAAGTTAAGGAGTTTGATTTCTTGCTCCAGGGAAACTTGAAACTTGTAACAAACAGGAAATTCGTTGTATATTTGTCATGGTCTCAGTCCGGATCGAAGGCATCTGCTCTAGGAAACTGGAAAAGTTACACATTTTTGTGACGTAAAGGGTTGGCGGCAAGGCATTGATGAAGAGATATTGCAGTGTCAGTTGCTCGATGATAACCTCTGGGAAGTCAGGCATACGTGGCGTTCGGGTGTCGCAGAACGCCAGAGTACGCTGTAGAGCGCCTTTTTTATGTTTATAGAAAAGTCAGGAAATTTTCGTCTCTTGGCAGTGGAAAATTAATGGATATTTTCCTCCATATTTTATGCATAATTTTATCCAAAATTTAATCGTTTGTACTCATTATACAAATTTGATGAAAAACATTCATTATTTTCCTTGAAATTAAATACTTTCTCAGAGTAAATTCAGCAAAGTTGGAATGCTCATGCGGTGTTGCACTCACGCAATGGCGTGGCGTGCTTGGCGATATATCGATTTATCTGCCATTTAAACCTATGGAAAAGGATCGATAAACAGGGTGTTTGCAGCGAACACCTTAATAATCGATTCCTTAACATAGCTTCTAATGGAGAAATATCGATAGTCGATCATTCACGCCTCGCTAATATATACTGCAGAAATCAGGCCACGCGTATTCATGAGCACGGAGCCGCGCACCTCTGGGATCCCACCGCCTTCCGCAAAATGGCCTTTTTCAAAGGGATCCAAGGACCCGTAAATAACGGGGCAGTGGCGTGGCGTGATTTGCGATGTATCGATTGATCTGCCATATAAGCCCGTGGAAAAGGATCGATAGATAGGGTGTTCGCAACGAACACCTTAATAATCGATTCTTTACCATAGCTTCAAGTAGGATAATATCGATATACATCGAAGCACGCCACGCCACTGAAACGAGGCAACCCTCCGATCGAACGGTGCGTGCTATCAACCGGCTCCAGTGTTTGCCCCGAGGACGGGGGCTCGTTCTTAAGGGGGTTTTCATCCTTTCAGGCATCGCGGGGTGGAATTATACTGTTGACTTTTCGTTCGGAGGCCGTGTTTTTGTGGTGGTTTCGAGTACACGTGTATGCCGGGGTGCAGGAACTTCGAAACTTCCGGAGCCGTCGCGTGAATTGGGGAAGCTTCGCGAGGACGTGAAAAGGCGCACAGTGGATCGAGTCAATAGGAGTGATCGGACAACATTTCGAAACCTTAAACGCTTAAAACTCCGTTTTTACAACATTTTGAGGTTCTGAAAGTGGTTTCTCAAGGGTGAGAAATCAGCATTTCAAGTTCAACTTGGAATCCGTTTAAAGAACTTAATCAGGACTCAAATCGCCACTCAATTATGTAGAGCAGGGTGTCTACAAGTCCGGAAATCGTACTGATTTTTTAAGGGCGGTCCGGAAGTACTGAAGAAGTGCGGAAATTCTGCAAGGAGGTCCGGAATTTTTTTCATTTTTGTCGAAATTTGAGCGAGAAAATCAAATTTTAGAGATTTTCAAATCTCGTGCAGGCACTGAAAAAGTACTGAATTTTTCTGTCGAGGAGGTACTGCATTTCTTAGGAATGTACCGAAAAAGTACTGTAAAAGTGCTGATTTTTGGCCAGCCTGTTTTAGTAGACACCCTGATAGAAGTTTCGCTCTATAGGAATCCATCGTAAAAACGTACAACATCCACACTTTGATCCTGACGTGAATCATCACCTGTTTGTCCGTATACTTTTTCGTGTAGTTTTCCCGCCAGCGAGAAGTTTTGTGACCCATTTTCCTCTCGATAAGCCACCGCCGTCGAGTGGTTACCGAATTACTCTTTCATGCATACTTAGCTCAAACTCGAGCTTCGGGAAATTGTCAAAGGAAAACGAGGTACGAGAAGCCCTAGCGATGAGAATGAGCTTCGCTTGTGAGGCTCGCGAAACACGAACTAATTAAATCAGCTCCAGTAGCCAAACATACTCGAAAGTTGTCAGATTTCCCGTCAACCTCCCCCCCCCCCCCCCCCCCCCCCCCCCCCCCCCCCCNGGGTCAGCCGGGGTCGTTTTTCGGCGAATTTTCGTCAAGTGTTTTTCACCGTTTCCAACTTAGTATTCGTGACGCGAGATCATAGTCGTATATACCCTGTTCAAAGCTGTGATTGCGTGTGCACTGTTAAGTTGAACAATGTGACGACATGATGGATAATTCTGAAGTCCGGCAAAATCCCTACGACCCCAAGGGTTCTTGTCCCTTTTTACGGTAGTCCTCGAACATTTGTGGGGGTCCCAAAAGTCAGTTCCGTTGACATAAGGGAGTATAAGTTCCTAAGGCCTTGTCTCCACGGGACGTTTTCATGGGATTTGTCCCAAGTTCGAATCGCAGGAATGAAACTTCTGGGATTTTTCCCAGTTACCGTCTCCGTGGGACGGGGCTCATACAGTCCTGCGACTAGTTTGCGCGGGAAGATAAATTAGTTAAAGTCGAGTATTTAACCGGGATTAAAATAATAATTGCACTCAATTGACAATTAGACACATTCTTTTAACTAAACAAACATGAACAATGTAGTAATGAATAAAATATCGCACAATTCGTTTTCACTTTTTCTTCTTCTCTCAGTGGGTCCTAGGGGTACAAGTACCATACTTAATACTGGGAAAAATATTAATTAACTAAATATTTTTCCCGATTTCGTAAGTGGGATTTTTCCCTGGGACAAATCTCGCGAAACGGCTCGTGGAGACAAGGCCCTAGATACTCTCTGTGTCTCCTTTGTCTGTAGCTTTGTCTATCGATTTCAATAATCGGGCTGCAGGTAGGAGAAGTTTTCGGTATCTTCGTCAGCATCTGAAGTTGGCGCGGAAAACGTGACTGCTCGGATTTTTCCGGGAACGATTTCTAATTTCCCAGCCGTCAAGTAGCGCGTCGGATTTCCCTATTGAGTTTCTCGCAGCTCCGATAAGAACGGAAAACGAGCGGGTCCCGCCCAAGTCATTCGAGTGTCATCACCGTCACCCGTTCGCAAAGATCTCCTTGAACTTTCAATCGCTTCTTTCGGCAGACGTATCGCGTCGGACCCATCTGAAAGTTTCGTCATTATCCGCGGAACAGTCAGGATTGTGTCTCACTCGCATCGAACTTCGAAGTCCGCGGGCACCTTTCGGGAACTCGCCGGGTTGCCCAATAGGGCTTTTTTCCTGAATTCGACCGCACTAAGGAGGGAAAAGCCAATTCGTATCAATCATTCAGAGTTGCCACAGTCAGGAGAAACGTCAGGAAATTTTAACAAGTCAGGGAAAATGACGAAAATGTTCGGGAAAATTTGTTAAATCACCTTCATTTGCTTTCTAAAATGGGTTTGAGATCTCGAACAACAAATGCCTGAAAACTATTTTCAATCATGCCTTCTTAACCATCCGTCACATCTTCAACGGAGATGTTGCATGTGTGAGGAATTTGCGATTTGACTATTGATTCTCACGTAAAAGTTCGCGAGAAACACGATGGTGCCACTGGTTTTCTCTGAAATCAACTCCTAAGCTCAAAAAAAGCTCTCATTGAGGCCAAAATGGAGGGGATATCCCACGCTATCCTGAGAGTCCACATCTACATCAAGACAAACTCCCCATGCAAAGATAGGGAGCAAATACATTGACATACATTGATCAAATACATACAAACTTAAAAACGTCTGCCTATCGGCCGAGCGCTTTAAATGCCTCGTTTTCAAACTATAAGGCTTTTATTTTTTAATTTTTTGCTGGTCTTAAGCTCATGATTGCCGCTGCATGATTTGCGACACTTGCAATGGACCCATCATTTTCTGTATTAAAATAGAATTCAGAAGAATATTGTGTCGTCTGTCATTATTCATCGCAATACACCGGTCATCCGCGTCGTGTCTCGTCGGGTTGATTTCTTGTGGTTTGCCTCACCTACCCGTTCGCCCGTGTAGCTGCAGATCTACATTCGCAATGTTGCCCAATGTTCACGCTGCGTTTTTGAATTTTGAGGTTTTCCGCCCTTCATCTTGGAAAATTTTAGTCTTTAGGGTAGCGAACTTCACGAAGCATTGGAGTTTGTCAGGCCGTTGTAAACAATCAGAAAAATTGAAAAAAAGGTCAGGAAATTTTTATGCAGCGCCCTCTACGCTTAGATTTAGGGGTTATATTTACCACACGAAATCGACAAGAAATGGAAGTATCCTTCCTTCCTTTTCTTTGTCATTTTGAAAAACAACAAAACAGAAAATTAAAGAACTTTCGAAGATTTTATG